TTAACGAATTTTTAATGCGCCGAAACGACATTACTTTTCGGTCCCCCTAATATCACCGTAAAGTGTGCCAAAATATGCATACTTCCGTAACGAAATTATTGGGAAATTGTCCGACAACTTAAACCCATCTATGTAACATAGTATTTTTGTGCCTGCCATTTTCTATCGTTTTGAGACACATTCTATTAAGGTTTAAAATAATTGCACCCGACAAAACAATTTTTGTTGCAAGCATACAAGTACTTTATTTTACCTAATCTGATTCTTACCTAAATCTATATATTAATAGGCTAGCAATATTTTGTCTCGCTAAAAACTCCCAAACTACGCAACAGAATTAAACAAATAAGGTGTCGTTTTAAAGGTATTGTTATGTAGATGTGCAATAAGGTCTTAAATTATGAAAATTTCCTTTAATTAATTAATAAAATTAATAATTTAGTTTCAACCAATGAGAATTCAGCAAATCATTTTTCGGGTGGTTCGCATAAGCATTGTTTCCGTAAGCATCGTTTGATTTAAAGCATTTCTGAATTAATAGATTGATAAACAAAAATAAGAGTGGATAAAAAAAAACGGAACTGAATTTCTTAAAAAAAGAATTCAATATCTTTAGTTCCTTTGATAAATTTTTAGTTTCATGATAAATTTTTTGTTTCGTTACAATAGAATGGCAATGGCATCGTGCGAATATTCAAACCAAAACAAACGTGCGAATATTCAAACCAAAACAAACTTTCTACAAACAATTATTTTGATTTGAGATTTAAAACGATATCTTAGTTATTTAGTTCTATTTTTATTTATTTAGTGCCTGCTGCCTAAATAAAATGCCTGCTATCAGGCGTCGAAATATCTCTGGCAGACGTCAGAGAAATGAATGGCGGAATTCTAAACGGGAAAGCATTTCTTATTGAGATATATTCTCTGCTACAGCTCCAAATTTCTCAGCTACATGAAGAAAAGATAATCAAATTGTGAAGGGGGCAGAGAAGTGTATAAATTTCATTAAGTAATTGATTTCAATATCTGGCATTTTTATTTTAAAATTTAAATTTGTTAAAATGTTTTTATAAGATTGCGAAGCAATATGCAATGGAAATGCGAAGCAGTTCTGGGGGTTGGCGAGCGTAGCGAGCAGGGAGCGGAGTCCCCTAGTCTGAAATTAATTTTGTTTCAAAAGCTACAGACTGTTTTTTTTTTTTTTTCTCAAAATGACATTTTTAGTTTAATTTACTTTTTGTCTAAATTCTTTTTAATACAAGTTCATAAATAACGTGGTGGGAAGAAGGACTTGGGGCTAGAGTATACATCTTGAATAACTTTTTTATTAGTGAGTCAAATTTCCTCTGTGAGGTACCGTAGATTGGTAACATTGATATACACTTCCATGTGCAATTACATAATCAGACTGTGATTTTTTAGCAGAAATTTAAAGTTTATAAGGTGCAAAAGTAACTTTCCAAATTTTCTTTTCATTATTTTATTAACATATTTTATTTTCAGAATTTCTTCCAACGGTGACAATATGTTATAAATTACTAGGCCTTTTTCTTCCTATTTTGAGTTCGGAAGGGCAAGAGTTCGAGCCTTGACTCCGCTAAAGACCCACAGTGTACATGCGATATCCGTGTTCGTAAAATCTGCAGAATCAAAAGTTCTGTGGGGTATTATCAGTATCATGTATGTAGGGATCTGGGGGGAATTGTCTTCCCTTCAGATCTATGTAGCCTCATGAATGATTGGTGCTACCATCTATCCGTGAAATTCTGAGCTAAGACAAGCTTTCACCTTTGCGGTGTTCTCTTGTCCAACGAACCGCGCATCATCCATACTTAATTCGCAAAAGGCCAATGGCTAGCGAACTTGACTTGTCCAGGTGTCATTAGAAACAAACACCTATTTTGATATTAACTTTTGCTCTGTATATTTTCAATTAACCAGCATATGACATAAACAAACACATAGCTTCGTGAGGCTAGTGTAGGCACATGTTGGTGAGACTAAAATGAACGTATTCACTCTAACCCCATTCAATAAATTGGTTACAAATGTTATATGTTCGATATTATTTGTTTTCGAAATTAGGATAATTTCGTAGCTTAATATGCCTTTGCAATTCGTGGTTTCAATAAAAAATTTAAAAATTAGCACGAGAACTTTATATTAATTCCCTCTTAAAAGGTTTTAAGAAAACTTAAAGGATAGGTTTTATAAATATATGTAGAGAGAATGCAATTCAATGTAGAGGAAGTTTTTGCCATACATTAAACTAAAACATAATATCAGCAAACGATACAGTCTTCTTTTTTGTCAGTTGTTTATATTACCCCAGTGAGGGAAATATCGCTAGCCCATGCACTCCATAAAATATCCATTCGCTCCATTTTTTTTTTTTTTTTTTTTCGTTTAGGCTGTGGGGGTGCGATTGTTCCTGNTTAACCAAGTTACTCGACTTCTGCCACGCCATTCACACAACCACAACCCGTTTATAGGGTGGGTCACATTCACGCACAAAGGAGAAAGGACATAGAACACACGGAGGGAAAGAAACATCCATGCCTTGACCGGGATTCGAACCCAGGACCTTTCTGATGCAAGGACAGTTCCTGCCCCCTACACAGGCCGGTCGGCATTCGCACCATTTCATCATCAAGTTAAAACTATGGCTTTTAAAATTGATTCAGCTTAAAAGTGGTTCTGTACTTTCAAATAAATCAAATTGAATAATGATTTTGAAATGTATTGATTTAAATCGAATTGTTCAAAATCAATCAAATTGCTTTCAAAATGTCTTTCTTATTTATAAAGAAACACTCTATTACAAATTAGTATTTAAATTAAAATAGATTAATATTGATTCTCCAATAAGATTTAGATAACACATTTTAGTTTTAAATATACCTTTCTGAGTTGTAATAAATGATTATTTAATATGTTAACAAGTTCCCAAATAAGCTTTAGGACAATTATGGAAAAACAAAACTTTGTTATTCCGTGATATGAACTAGAATGCATATAATCGCTCAAATTATTGATAAAAAAAATACTCAATGATTTAAAAATTACATTAAATACGATTTTTCTTAACAAATTTGTTAAAAAATGTTCACACTAGCACCTCTCTCTCCGATAGGTTTATGTTCTTATCTATGCACTTATTTGCTCCTTTGAAAATAACAAAAAAAACATATGACATATCGCATTATGAACGTAAAAGTATTATCACCTTCTTCCTACCACTCCCTACGTAGCAGAGAAGTGGGGACACTTAGTATTCAGTTGTTAAAAAGTTTACAAAATTCTGGTTGGGTATGCATAAATTATTAAGAATTATAAGAAGACAATCTTTGAATAACTATAGAAATTATAAGAATATAAACATAGAATAACTATAAGAATTATAAGAATATAATCTTAGAATAACTATAAGAATTATAAGAATATAATCATGGAATAACCATAAGAAATATAAGAATATAGTCTTAGAATAACTATAAGAATTATAAGAATATAATCTTAGAATAACTATAAGAATTATAAGAATATAAAAACTGTAAATTGTAGAGAGAACCCAATTGCAGATTTTAAATCAACAAAGCAAAAAAATTTCTGAATCCGTTCAAAGATCTCAGGCAGCAGAAAACAAGAAGAAAAAAAAATTTCCCCGCTGTTTTTCTTTTTTTTCACAAAACTCTGAGTATAAAATTAAAAATAAGCATATCATTTTCCATTTTGCATTTCTTCTCTCAACATATACTATTCTTCAAAAATCTATCTTAAAATTTATGAGTGTTCATTGAAGGATGATATCGCTTTTAAATTTCAATATATATTTCTGAATATATGACACAATATAACTGCATAACTCATTTTTAACGTAGTAGGTGTTTCTGAAAAAGAAATGTTTTCTCTGAAAGGCACCAGTTTTTGTCAGGTAACTTAGTGCCATCTAAATTGTCGCCTAGAATTGGTTTAAACATTATTCTAACACATAGTAAACTTTCTTGCTATCGTATAAACACACTTTTTAAAAACATGATTCATAGCAAAGCTTTAAAATGCAAAAAGCTTTATATATTCAAAAAAAGCTTTTTTATCTTTTATTCTTCTTAGTTTAAGTAAATTTGTTATTAAAAAAATCAAGGCAACCTAAAAGTAAGTATTTTTCCCACCATTAAAAACGTAGTATTTATTTATTTTTTGTTTATTTTTATTTGCTTTAAAATTAAATTTAACAGTTCTAAGTAAATTATGGTTTTTCACTCTAAATAAGTTACTGATAGGAATATAATTCATTGTGTTTCATCAAATTACCGGTACCGATTGATAACCTGTAGCAGGTACTAAAATATATTTGAGAGGTCAACATAATAAACAGGTGGGAAAAAAAACTGAGCCGGGTACTGTGTAATTGCTGAATACTCGGTACATCCCTATTTTACAGTCATGATTATCATTAACCAACATGCCCTTATCATTAACCAACGCATAACGAAAAACTGGTGCAAAGTCCCGAAATTGCATATTCTACATTATCTTGGCCTACAACAAAACGAAAAAGACATGAAGGCTTCTATTTGTAAATGTGTTTTTTTTTCTTGTATTTGTTAGACTGGGACTCTGAATAATGCCTAATCAATGTATGTAATATCGTTAACATATACCACAGATGAGATTTAAGAAAGTTCGACCCAGATAGCAAAAGAAACTCAAACAAATGATAGTTTCTGTAGATCAACACGAATCAGCCGTCACAGAAATGACAGCTGTTTCATTATCTACTACTGCTTCTGCAATTAACATTCCGAACTTTCAGCTTGAATCTAGAAATCGTTGCATACCATTTTACTCCAAAGAAAGTAAAGCTAAGCTTCATTTTTCTATACCTAGTAAGTTTATGTTTCATCTAACTTTTTGTAACAAAATAACGACACAAAGTTATATCAGTATGAAACCAAAAATTAGATTTTATTTATATCATGAATGGCACACGAATGTGAATCATATTTGACATATTTCTAATGAGTATATACTGACAGCACCTTTTTCGGAACTTTGATTAGTTTGCGACAAAGAGGGCATCGATTCTTATGAAATATCAACCATTTATAGACGCAATCAGTGTGAAAACTATGCGAGCAAACTAATTTCAGCAATGGCTGATACGGTTCAGTATCCAAGCATATGGAACAAGCTAAACGTTCTTTATTAGTATACATATCATCGGAGCACGCATCTTTGAGTTCCGCCAATTTAGAAGAGATACACTCATCGCTTACTTTTGTAGAACTATCAACATTCTGTTTAGTCACTCGCACAGTAATTACGGCATTACTTTCAGTTGGTCTCACAACAGTTGCAACGACACTCTCAGTTGGTCTCACAACTGTTGTAACTTCATCCACAGTCTGCCTCGCAGTTGCAGGAGTTTCATTTTTGGTCCGTTGCACAATAGTTGCAGTCTGTCTCACAATAGCAGCAGCTTCATTCATAGTCTGTCTCACAACGGTTGCAGCTTCATTTACAGTCTGTCTCACAATCACTACATCTTCATTTCTAGCCTGCCTCACAACAGCTGCAGTTTCCTGCTTAATTTTTCTGACATTAGATGTTTTTTTATTAGCAGAATTTCTTAATTTTCTTTCGTCCCCTCCGCAATCGTATGGTTTATACGCCCGGCGAGCATTTTTCCTTTCCTTCGGCATAATGTTGCCTGTAAATTAAATTAAATATTCAAATCGATTCATAAATTTCTATTAAAAAAATTTAGTAAAGTCAAACACTTAATGTTTTTTTCTTAATATTTTATAACCGGTGTTGAGCAGCCGACCAAATTCTGAATTTACAATTATTAGTGTTCAACTCCGTAGCCTTGTAATTTTGAACGAAACCCAGAAGACCAAAGAACTCCTGGATCACGCATTAGAACCTATTAGCCTTCGTAAAGAACATTTTAATGGTACTACCACGCATTTGCGTTAGGTAGAAAGGAAAACTACGAAAACTCTCCCACAGTTAGCCCGATAGCAAGGGGATTCTAACCATGGTCCGTCTACCACTGATGATATTTTACATCAGAACTTTGGTCGGTGCGAATCGGAAGCAGAATTCGTATCAACCAGCCACGACTGGGATTCGAATCTAGTTTACCTAATTGAGGGGCAAACTCCTATCACTTGAGACGCCATGGCTTCATTTGAAGCAATCATAACCATTGAAACATTTATTTTTTTTTAAATATAATTAAGTAATTTCCTAAGCCTAATAAAAAGGAAACGTTATTTCTGAATATAATCTGCTATATGTTATAGTAGAACATGCCTTTATAAATAATAATAAAAAATTGGGACATTTTGAAATCATTATACAAGAGTTCAAATAGCTCATACATAAATGGTTCTTAAATTAAATGGTTCATGGTATCGTTAGCTGAGAACCAGGTATATGGGGAAAAAAGATTACGAGGCTTCTTGTTGAAGGGCAACATACCTCTCCATGACTCTGAACAAGGAGCTTTGATTGATTTGAGGTATAGGAATAAAATTCTAGAGCCCTCCATTCTTTTCTCAAGGTTACAATTAGCCCTGATTACACGTTAATGAACGGCGCTGCACAGCCGCGTAAAGCTTATCTGGTCAACCATTTTCCCTGAGAGTGAAAACATTTGCTACATCGGCTAACCAGCCAGATCTCCAGACCTCAACCCTATGGAGCGAGTCTGAGACGCTCTACGGAGGACTATATAAAACTCGCAATCCCCCTTCGAAAACCATTCTAGAGTCAGATAACAGAGTTGTTGAGCGAGTGAGAACAGTTAAAGTATGAACTTATGTACTGTCTTGTATGCTCGCTTATTAACAAACAAATTTTAGGATGTGGTAATTAATTATTGCAACTAATTAATCACGTAAATTCAACGCATCAATCACGTAAAAATCACTGGAGGCTTGTAACTAAACAATTATTTATTGTTGAACTAAACAAGCGATGAAATAACCAGCATGTGACGTTTACAATGATAATATAGATAATATGAAATAGGTCCAAGAAATAAAATTCTCTTTCGTTCTCACACTCTTACTTCTCGTCATCAAAACTCAACTATTGTTATTCGTTATTCATCCGCAGATCTTGTGTCTCGCTCCAGCTTTAACAGGAAAGTCTCATGGTTGGCGCCAAACCACGGAACCGTCTTGTTTAATGTCCGAAATGAAATCACGCTGTAATATTTACATATCTGAAACTTTACATATTTATCTATTATTTTAGTTCGATTCTGTGACCACAGTTTTACCCCCCTACAGACTCTGAGCACTGCTATATCCGCTTGCTCATCATACATATTTTATTTTTTCTGCTTTATCTCTTATCGGCAAAATACATTCAATAAAATTAGGTGCCAGCATTGATTTGAACAAAATTAAATTATGCGACATGTGAGTAACCCCTCACAATTATAAATGATACCAGTAAAATTCTATTCATTGGTTGGTTGATTCTAATGCCACTTGCCACACGGGCAAGCTTGCTTGGTGAAACCGAGCAGATTTTAGGCAGAGTGTGCGATTCTTGTTTTTCAGTGGCGCCGTCTATGGCCAAGAATTTGACTTCGCCGCACCATACGTCACACCTGTTTATAAGGCGGACCCATTCTTACATCCATTCATTCATCCACAGATCGTAATTTTGACCTGATTCAGAGAACGATCGATCTCTAATCCAGTACGCCCAGAGGTATTGATTTGTTATGAGAACATGGAGGACTTGGCGACTCGACAGAATTTTAACGTGTATTAGTCACCAACTACACAGGGAGTCTTCGGCCGGCGGGGTTCGAACCCACAAATTCTCGGACATGGGCCCAGCTCCCTACCGACCAGGCTATCTCGGCCTGAACTATTCATTAACTATTAACTATTCATTAACTATCTATCGTTCATTGACTATATAGTTGATCCTAATTCATTAACTATTAGGATTAACTATCATGTTCATTAACAATTAGGAAAGGCAACTTTTTGAAGTCTATGTGAAGAACCTACGTGTTTACGAATTTATAACCATCTGCCTATTTGTGCCAAAATTTGAACAAAAATATTGCAACTGGATTTATAAAAAATTGTGAAAAATAGGAAATATGTTTAAATTGAGAATTGTGGTCACAATTGATTATTAGGTTGTTAAGAACATGACAATACAACATTATATTTTGACAATACAACATTATACTTTCTTTCTTTTTTTTCTTGAAAAAAGAGAGCAATAACATTAAATTAATTCTCCAGATTTAGTTGGAGATTTTTTTTTTGGGAGAATTTTTTTAAGATACTGTTAAAATTATACAAATATTAAATTTCATTGGAGAAAAAAAAGGTAAGAGAAAGTAGTTTGATTTCATTTTAATTATTTTCCGTATTATTGCAACATTTATTAAAAGAAATAGAAAATTAAAATTATAACAGGCTGTTTGTCCCGTAAAAGAGAAGAAAAAAAAAGCTGGTATCATAGCCATCTTCGCCTTTTCTTCGGGAAAAAATATCCCAGCTGATAAAAGTTATAGCATATATACAGGACTGTTTCTCATTCAGAAGAGAATAAATCATGGTAAAAAGTTTATAACAAAAAATTCATCTAATTATTTTAAGAAACGATAGCTGTAAGAGATTTATTTCTCTTGTAAATTCACATTTTATAACTGTTTTGTAAAAAGGTTTGGTAATATGCTTTATAATGTGGTAATAAGCTCTAATAATGAAGGATATTTTCTTCTTTTTTTTTAAGCAACCTAGAAACGGTTATATTACCTACAATTTTCTTTTCTTTTCCGGAGTAAAAACGGACTTGAATAATTTCAAATACCCTATTTTTCTTTGCAAAAATCAGTGATAGCCTATTGCAATTTTGATGATAAACATTCCACAGCATTCGATTCATGAATATCGTGTAGACGATGTCGGTCGACAGCCATCAGCATTTGTAAAAGGGGGGAAATATCGATCGACATTTTTACGACATCGATCTATATCATTTTTGTGATATCGTACAATATATGAGTAAAAGTCTGACGTTCTTTCATAAGTCGATGTTTCGAAACAACATTGTTCATTTTCGTAATATGCGATATTTCGAAATGGATCGATATTGTGTGCCACTTGGGTAGTGCTTTTGTTTTTCCTTTATTACATTGCAAGCACTAATGCTTTTTTATTTCATTTCTAACAAGGATTCTAAATATATACATTAAGGGCGGGGTATCGTAACACCTTGGGTATAAATGATGAATCCAAAAGCAAATTATTTAAGTTTTTACATTTTCGCAAAGAAACTTATTACGAAATTTTCCATAGAAATATGAATTCAGATAAGCGTATGATTTCTTTGCGCTTTTTCTATCTGTATATCGTGAATTTTTAATATAAAATACGAGTATACGGTATATCCCTGGAGTGGCACTTTTGGGTTAGACGGCTACCAAAATTATTTAATTTAACTTTTATGAGTTTAAGAAAAATAAATAAAAAAAAATTTTAAAAGTTGGCGGAGTTCTATATTTTTTGGCGCCTTTTCGCTTACGTCTCCATCCGAAAAGTACCAAAATTTTAATTAAGAAATTAAAATCTACTTATACAAACAAAAAATAAATATTGAATTATGCCAGCAGATAGATTCATTTTATTAGATTGGATGATATTAAACGCCAAATCCTGTTGTCCACTGTATACCAGAATTAAAGTAAATTCTTAATTTGTATCCATTTTTTTTTCTAACAATTTAATTGAAGATTATAATATTAATCAAGTTAATTTTTAAGCAATTTTTCCGTGAAATTAAATGGTATTTAATATTAATGAATATCAACAACTTTTTGGTAAACCGCTTAGGAGAATCGTAAAAAACCAATTAAGGAACCTCTGTAACCACAGTAACGTTCACTTATACCCCTGTACTTATTACCACGATTAATTAAGCAACGCTGGCGGCTGTAGTTGTTCGGGAATTTAAACGGCTCTCACAAACTGAAAATATTTTTATTACATAGAAATATATTTATAAACTAGCTAAGTCTTTCTAATTTGAGAAAAAAACTCACAATTGTAGAAATTTCATCATTTTTCAAAATACATTAAGTTATTTTAAACGTATAATTCCACAGAAATATTTATGATGAAACGATTTCATTAATGTATTATTTTTTATACAAATTTTTAACTCAGAAAGTAATATTTAAGACAAAAACAAAATTGAACTTACGTAATAGAAGAATGATGACTTGATTTATTAATTTGAAAAGAATTTTAATTTATTTAGGAAATTAATTTATTTATTAAATGAATTTATTAAATCTTGAACGCTAGTAATTTTTAAGCCATCAATAATTTGAGACAGAAATATAAGAAATCACAAAAAATTTAAATTTTGTAGCTTTTTCCTATTTTTTGCTTTGGCGCACCGGCCCATTTCATAAATTAAAATACACAACTTTTACCCGAATGGCCATCTTAATATTTATGTCACTGTGAAACTGTCGGTTATCGAATTTCACCGGTGAATGTCAACACTCACATAGTCCCTTTAGTAAATGTGCGAAATGTGTGCTATATCTGATTTGATATTAATTTAACCATCGATATTTAAATATCCGATCAGAATAGATTAGCAAAAGCATCGGTGTTTGGAATATTGGGCAGATGTGAGTAACTGGCATGCTCTACTCTCATGCTTTTTAAAATTAAAAATCTTTACTCGGTATACACACTTGTCCGGTATTCTCTACAATGATGCTTTTCAAAGTTAAATACCATTGTGTGGTATACTCTTTCTCGTCATGGATGGTTCACTGAATGTAAACAATTACAAACTTCCTAAAAACGGAAGAATTGTAGAAACCTTACTGTGTATCCTTCTGCTTTTGTTATGCTTACTAGGCGATGTGCGAAGTGGTTTAATATTCTAGGCAGTTTTATTAGTCGTATTTGTGTTTAAATTTAATAGTAAATTTTACCGTTCATCATAGTTTACTGTAAATTATAAATTCTAATAGGCCATGGGCCAAAAAAAATTTTAGAAAAATAATATCCCGATCACAACATAATTAAAGTGTAAGGTTTTTCATGCTTTGAGCATTATCCCTTATTTGGTTGCACTTGTTTAAAATATCGCCATTTTTTTCTTTTCTTAATTTGATAGCATCTTAGCGTGCATTCGGAGTCTTTCGAATTTATCTGTTGGCGAATTCTCTCTATTCTTTAAACAGAAGCGATTAGATTTAACGGAGCACCCTTCAGTGCCGAGATTCTACCCTACGCAGCAGAAATGTTTAAAAAAAACTTGTAATTGAGTACACCAATCACACTTTAAAAAAATTAGAAAAAAATTAAGAGAATGGAATACCAAACAATGCCCCTTAACTTTTAAATCATTTTACGGAACCGGATATATATTATATATTAGAAAATAATGTGAGCAAATACCATGATCATTACTGCTGAGGCATAGAATGATCACACTGAGGAGCTAATTTTTTGTTGCATTTACATTATATAAATACTTGATCTTGCGCAATATGGGTGAGGGATTTCAAATCTGAAATTAGTTTTGCTCCAAATCTTTTTTTAAAGGACATTTTGAATCAATTTTTTGTCGAAATGTACAAATTTAAAAACGTTATATATAACAGAGGTTCGCGGAAAAGTAGGATTGAAATTGCATAGAAAACCATGCCTGAAAATTCGGTCGTACGCGGCTAGGTGCGCTTCCTTATTACGATTTGTTCATAAGTGCACAATAAACAATTCATGTAGAGGAAAAGGCCTCTAGTGATGTATGACGACGTTATGCAATTTTAATCTTAATGATGAGAACAAACTCATCGTCCTTAAAATTTGTCACAATATTTATACGGTCCCCTGTTTATATATAACGATTTTAACTTTCGATTTTTAACATTTCGATTTAAAAAAAAATAACTGTAGTTAGGAGAGAGATTTAAAATCGATGAGAAATTATCTAAGATCTGTTAAAATACACCTCATGCAAAAGAAAACAGAATAATAATAATAATAAGTTTTCCAGTGTAATTGTTCATTTTGTGACTTTACACTTCTGATGACGGGTGTAGTTGTAGTTCATTTACGTCGCACTAGAGCTGCACAATGGGCTATTGGCGACGGTCTGGGAAACATCCCTGAGGATGATCCGAAGACATGCCATCACAATTTTAATCCTCTGCTGAGGGGATGGCACCCCCGCTTCGGTAGCCCGACGATCTGCACGCGAAGTCGAGCACTTTACGGTAGAACAGTTTAAAAAGGACCAATACCGCGCACCCTCGGTCCTTACGCAGACTGATCCAAGTGGTCACCCACCCGCACACTGACCGCAGCCAATGATGCTTGACTTCGGTGATCTGCTGCGTCTTAACGATCAGTCCACTGCGGGACTTCTGATGACGGCACTTGTTTACCATACTAAAACAGCGTTTGTCTTTCTGAACTTCTTATTTCTGCTTTTCACAATATTTTCAATTTTATTAATGTGACTGTGGAAATAGTATAATGAATGATGCAAACTGAAGTCCACAAATATAATTTTATGAAACAAGTAAGCCAGAACTTAGAGAAGAAATGTAACAGCTTGGAGACAAATTTTGAAACTAAAACAAACAAATTGTAAGAAAGAACATTTTATTGGAAAAAAAATTTTATGAAGAATATATTTTTTACTTTCAAAATTCTCTTCAATTCTGATGTTGTTAAGAACAGCAAGGCTTTTTTTCTTCAAAAAATTTTTATTTTCGAAAACAAAAAGTATGTAAGAAAATTTGTCCAAAAGGTATGGTGAATGATTCATTTCATAATCCCAAAAAACTTTTGTACAGAAGCGAGATTTAAAAATCTCAAAGAACACATTATTCGTTTTAAAAAAAAATTTCAGTTTTAGAAACAAACAGAATGCAAAGGAATTTAACTAAAAGGTATGGTGAATGATTTATTAAACACCCTCCAAAACCAAAAATATGATAACCACACTTTATATTAAATAGGAGTCGAATACAATTCTTATAAACATTATAATATGTTTTTTCTTATGACAATTGGATAAGCTAAGATCGCCAGCCATTGGCCTTTTGCTAATTAAGTCAGGAAAATACCTGTTTTGTTAGACAAGAGAGCACCCTAAGAGTGAAAGTACATCTTAGCTCAGAATCCCATGGATAGATGGCAGCACTACTCATTTGTGAGAGCACTTCTTAAATTTAGACTTAGATCTGAATGGGGAGAAAAAATTTCCAGATCATTGTATCCTTGTTACTGCTCAGCAACTGACCACAGTACTTTCAATTCCACAGATTTTACAAGCACGCATGTCACATGTTCTAGTTGGATCTTAACCCAACTAGTTAAATATTTATAATGAGTTAGGTCTAGCAAAGTTGAGGATCAGACAGAAGTTATATTCTCTAAACACTTCACTACTACTGCCAGTATTATTAATAGAATGTAAAACATTAATATTATTCCAAAAAGATAAAAGGAAATAAAAATTTATTATACTATAAAATATAGTTTGCAAAAAAAAACAGTTTAAATAAATACATAGAGAAACCTTCAACATTTAAAATCAGTATTAGAATAAAAATTTCCTAACAAAATTTCAAAAAATAAGACACAAACAACTATGATTGCTAATACAAAAATTTATTAAAACAAAATTATACATTTAAATAAAATTAACTATTTATAATTTAGATAACAACAAATGTATCTAGTTACATTTAAAAGTGATTTTTATGCATGACAGGTACATGAGATACTTTAGGATCAATTTTAATTTTAGAAAATTCAATTGAAATTGAAAATTAGTTAAAAAATAATACTTTTTAAAAATGAAATTCAAGAACTACCAACATTATCTAGGTTCACTAAAATCAATAAAAAATATCCTTTTTGTTTACCACACTTTGTTATTATTCTATTGAAAAAATTTACTTTTTCTTCAATTTTTATTGAATTTCTAACACAAAAAAAACATTTAAAAGTGATTTTTATGCATGACAGATACATAAGATAAATTAGGATCAATTTTAGTAAATTCAATTCAAATTGAAAGTTAGTTAAAAAATAATACTTTATAAAAATGAAATTCAAAGAAATACCAACACTAGGTTCACTAAAATCAATAAAAATATCCTTTTTGTTTACCACACTTTTGTTATCATTCTATAAAAAAAATTTACTTTTTTATCAATTTTTATTGAATTTCTAACAAGAAAACATTTAAAAGTGAATTTTATGCATGACAGGTACATGAGATACATTGGGATCAATTTTAGTAAATTCAATTGAAATTGAAAATTAGTTAAAAATTAATACTTTATAAAAATGAAATTCAAAGAACTACCAACATAATCTAGGTTCACTATAATCAATATAAAAATCCTTTTTGTTTACCACACTTTTGTCATTATTCTATTAAAGAAATTTTCTTCAATTTTCATTGAACTTATAACAAAAAAATAAATAAATTTAATGCAATTAAAAATGTAAATACTTTCAAAAAAGGAAATAAAAGAAAAAGGACAGTTAAGCATTTGAGCAGTTATTGCACATAAAATCACAGCAGCTTGCAATAAATACTATATTTGTTCGACAAGTTTAATATCAATAATGCTCACAAAATATCACAGATGTTTTACATTTCACTTTTTTCAATTAAGAGCAATAATATCTACTTTAAATAAATATTAAAAAAGCCGCCTGTGTTACAAAAAAGCAAGAAGGAGCAATAATCTAAACAATAATACTTATATCACCCAAACAATAATACAAGAATTTCTTAACAAAAAAACAGTATCGGGTAATCAAGTGGAGAATTTAAAGTTGCTATATGTCTTTACGAAAACCATGAAAGTGATTCATTGGCTAAAGAATTGTCACAACAATTATGCATTAGATTTTTTAAGTGCCTAAGCATCACTACAGCAATAGCAGAAACTTAGTAACAAGAATTTTGATTGTGATATAGTAAAAATAATACTAATATGTTATTTAATTCAATAGATATAAAGTGGCTATGTACTGCATAGTACGCATTGAAAAGAAAAAAAACAATTTTGATAATAGTATGCGAAAAACGGTTACAAGTAGTTACATCATATGCATAAGATTTAAAGTGCTTATTATAAACACAATAACAGAAAATTACTGCTCAAAAAATCTTTAAGGAATGCAGAAAAAACAGTAATGTGCAATTATATTAATCAATAGACAGATAGGAGATAAGTATTGCAAAATAATAATATTTGTTTTATAATTGAAAAGTAGTATGCAAATTTATCACAATTCAAAAAAAATTTCAATACAAAAAATTACAAAATTTTCTTTTCGGAAAAAAAAGAGAAACTATTCAAGTGTACATTCCAGTAAAAACAGACTTGAAAGAAATTTTCATAGGGTGCCTTATGATCCAAGCATTATTGCGAAGGCGGCAAAATCTGTAACCATCCTCCAATTCACCAAACTTATCAATCGAGATTATACCATTTGAATCAGCTACACTAGCTAGAAGAGCATGAAACTTTCGCTTATTAGCCCATGGAAAGGTGCCTTCAACATCTTTAGCTTCAGCCAAGTGAATACAACTGCAACATTTCACATCAATTGACTCATCTTGCCCCCAAGCTTCTAAAGAAGCCCTTTTACCAGAGGAACCTGCTTTAAATGGGCAATTCTGATTATAAGTTGTGAAATTGTTCTTGATGTTTGGCGATATATATAAAGACTCCATATCAAGAATATTCTCTATATTGTCTTCTTCTGATGCTACAATAGTAAAATCATCACTTTCATGAAGTTGTTTCATGATGTCATCTAAGTATACAATGGCAAAGATATTTGAAGGTGTAACTAAAAGTCCTAAGATTGTAAGACTGAAACACTCTCCATAATGTTCCCTTACCTAAAAAAGAAATGCATATCTTAAATACAAAATGAAGTACAATACTTTACACCTGTTATAATTTTCTAACTATTTAGCAAGTCCTATTTATATCTCTTGAAAAAGTTTTTTTTTATTTGTTTAATTTTATGACAGTTGGAAAAATATATTATTAAGTATTTATAATGAAATTCTCCCTTTTTATGCATTATGAAAGTTAGTAAAGCATCCTTTGTACATGGTTAAAAAATTACAAAATCCATTATACCAGAATTTTAAGCATAAATATATAAACCACATTTCACTCTAATAAGAATTTTAATCTCAAAACAATAGCTTTAAAATAAATTCTAAAATTAATTGACAATTTGCTATATTTAAAAAAATTTTGCTTCTTCCACCTGGACTTCTGCATCAGGTACTTATGACTAAAACTATATTTCCACCTGTGCAATTAAATTTTTTAAGAACCATAGGCAAATGCTTCACTTATTACATTCACTTCATTAAAAAAAAACTCTAATTATTTACAAATAAGCAAAAACAAGTTTTTTTTTTCTTTTTTTTAAAAAAAAAACATGTAGTTTTTTTTACAAAAAAACTACATATTAATTTTTTCCATTACGTAGAATCTTGTACGTTTTTTCCGTTACATTGAAGAAAGAAAAAAAATTATGTTTCAATAAAAAATGTGCTTAAATAATCTTTTTTAAAAAATATTGCACAGCTACTATACTGATGCTGTGTAGCATACAAGAACATATAATTCAAACAGTGTTTACTTTATAATATGTCATTTAAAAATATAGACATATGACTCTGAGTGTTAAATAATTCATTCAATAAATAATGTTATTTTCACTTAAAATTTTTTTGTATTTCTTAAAAAAAAGCATTTATTTATTTTTATTTTTTGGGGGGATTACAAATTATTTTGCAGCACAAATTTTAAACTTGTACATATTTTTAGCGTACTTCTAATAGAAAACTCAAATAAACTGTCTGAATCTACATTTATATTAGCAAAAAATAGTATTAAATAGTTTTTCTATTAGGAAGATGCTTATTAGAAACATAAAATTTTATAAATATTTAAAAAATATATATATAATATTTTATCTTCTTAACACGTAAGTTAGCATATATCCTAAAAAATTTATAATTTTAATAGAAATNACTTTACTTGAAATTATTTATATTCACATTCTGTACTAATTACCATTTAACAATTACAATAATTTCTAATTCTAAAAATATTTTAACAATGCTACTGTTTGAACAAAAAACCCTTAAGCTAAAAATCCTTCAATGCATCCTTCAAACCTAACAAAACTTTAATAATAAAGAAATTCTATTAACATAAAAATTTATGCTCACAATTAGCATAAAAAAAAGAGCAGAAAATTCAAATTTAAAAAACAAATTTATGGAAAACTTCATGCTGGTGAAACATAAGGATAAGTAAAGAAAAAAGAAACAGGATATTTATAGTAATACTGGTTTACAAGAAGTTTATGTTTTACAGTATAGAAAATTAAACAATATTTACCAATACAGACTGGTAGTGGTTTTTTATATCAAAACAGCTATTCTTCTTACTGCATGCAGCAACACAATAAAGTGATCTTTTAGCCTTGTAATGTCCTAATAATTTCCCTGCAACAAAAATTTGACTTAATAATTAAAAACCAGAATAACTATCATCACTAGAAAAATTGATACTTGTTAACATTTTTAAAAAAATTAAAAGCAAAACAAAATCCAGTTAGTTAAAAATATTTCTTCCAGATATTCATATTTATAGTAACATTTCAGACATGCAAATTAATTGCTTCTGTAAATATAATTTTAGAAGAAATGTTATTAAGCAAGGAAAAAATATCATTTTTGAAGTCGAATCACTAGTGAGGAAGGCGAAATTGAAAGCATAAAAACCTGTCTGATAACAGGAGAAATCAGAGAAGAGTTAAAAAATTATTAAAAAAAAATCTAAAAAAACACTGTCAAGTTTCATCAGGCAATCAAACTGGTCTGGATGTTCTTTGCCACATTTTTCTTACTAATTATTAGAAACTATTTGATAGCATTTTTGTTTTTTTCTCAATTAAACATCAAATTGCAACCACTTATGTGAATATTTTTTGACATCATTTTTGTTACAAGGATATTAAAATATATATATAGGGATGTGATTCACAAACACCCTGGGTATACGATGATGGTATAATTTAAAAATAAACTTACCCTTATCAAAGCAATTTAAGATACGACAGAATTTTCCATCTCCTAACAAACAGTCTAAGGCAGTTTGTACTATGTTAAGAAAGTATGAGGAGTCCAAAGGGCTCAGGAACCAGCCAGTAAGAATAGGAAAAATATCTTGCCATTGTTTTAAGCGGTGTCTGAAATACTCTACATTTAAGCCTTTGGTATTGCTCTTAGCAAGTATCTAAAACATGAAAGAAAATGATAAAAACCATTATTTAAAAAAAATATTTAAAATGTTGGTATACCAGAATTAAATACTATGACACTGGTCACTTTAAAACTGTTTGATCTTGCATTAAGCCAGTGTTGTATAATTTTAAAAAAAACATTTCAGCAAGTATTGAAAATAAAGTATTAATTACTGAAAAAAAATTTATAAAATAATAATAGGAGTAAATTATGACTGTTCAAATTTATAATAAATGAAATTGAAACAATTTAAGATACACAAGAACATAAATTGGAAAGAAATTATTAGAAATCAAATGGAGAAATCAATCTTAATCTAATTGAGAAATCAATCTTTATTATCTTTAAAAAAAAATTTGAAATGCAATATGAATGAACTTTAAGATGCATAGCTCAAAACAATAGAACTTTATTTTAATTTTTAAATTTAATATAGATTCTTTGCAAATTAGTATATATACTATTATTAATAAAAATACAGTAACAGAAGTTTGTAACAGTCCCTCTAAAGGGACAAGAACAAGAGAAAATCACATGATTGTAGTAAATTTTGACTATCATGAGTTAACCTAGAGCAGGGGTGGCGAACCTTTATACACCAACGCGCCATTTTCTCTAAAAAATTGCTTAATGAGGTCATAGACGTGCCGTCAAATAATTTTGACTTCGTGATTATTGGGAAAATAATAATGCTAAATACTATCAACTCAAAACTCTTTTTTTACATTGGAAAAAAAAAAAAAACATTTTGCAATGCCTCAGTTATACACGTAATTCAACTTAAAAGTAACATCAGTGTGACTTCTGCTGATGCAGATTAGATGACCAAATACTTATTTTAGGTAGTAAGATGTTAGTTTAAGCAGGACTGTTGATATTTTTGCTAGGTTATTATTGTTAGCTTGGTTTTTACCATTATTAATTGTATTTTTAGCAATAATTTTAAATTTTTTTATTAATAATTGTTTATTATTTTGTTTGTTTTTTGTGAATTTTAATTTAATTGTTACATATGCTTCATAGCGTAATAACATTTGTGTAATAACAATTCATAGTGTAACAACAATTGTGATTGGTGGAGTGCCCAAAAAACTGCGTCGCGTGCCATTGGTTCGCCATCCCTGACCTAGAGTAACAGCATCACACCAAATGATTCAGAAATCTTTATTTTGATGGGATGAACCACTAAAAATGTGTTTTCCTTAATCTAATAATGTAAAACCACCAGTGAGGACAAACTATAATAATAAATTTAAAAAATGGAATTATTTTAGCTTTAATAATTGTGGTCAGGGTGCATGGCCTACGCATCCTATGTGTTGGTATATATCTTTCAGTTTTGAGCAGAATTTTGTTGCATTGTTCAGTACTGATATGTTTAACTGTACTGATATTGGAAACAATTTTTATCTCTCTTTAATTAAGCTAATCATATTTTTGAAAATTTCATATAAATCCTAATCTTATTTTTAGCTGGCAACAACATCCAATATATCTCTTTTTTTTTAAACTCAATTAGCTCAAGTGTTGGCTAACGGACCCTTCACAAAATATTTTAACTTAAAAACGGACCCTTCACAAAATAATTCATCTTTTAATCGGACCCTTCACAATTTGTTTATCTTCATTATTGCTTTGTTAATCGAATAAACCCTTCCCGGCAGGGGGGGGGGAGAAAGGCAGATGTAAACGGACTAAGTTTTGTCTTCGGCAGACACTTCTTCCTTTACTTGTCTAAAATGAATATTCTGCGTTCAGCAGTATAGACTAAATAGCAAATACTTACATGTTGCATCTCTAATTTAGTAGCAGCAATTGCTGTTTACCTTTTAAAATTAAATTTTTTTTTATTTTATACTTTTACAGTGTTGAGCATAATCTTGTATCCATTTACAATTTAAAAATTAATTGAAAAATTTTTTTGCAATAACAGGACTCTATTTGCACAAATTCACAAAAGCATGACCCTGGATGAAAGAACGTGACTTAACGTTTATTTTATATTCACAAATTAAGAGTAATTTTTTCACAATTTTACAAACAACGGACCTTTCACAAAATGTCTGGACAGACCCCTGGGTCGGCTGTTCAACGAAGGCTATAAAATAAAATAAATACAAAAAAAAAAAAAAAATTTCATTTAACCAACGTTTTTGGAAGTTGTCTATCCACATATATCGTTATCTATTAAACCTTTCCACCAGGTAATGTTATTAATGTATTATTCCCACAACCCCTTCCTTCGTCCCCCGAAAATTACTCCCCCGTGACGTTTATGAATCATGAGTATGAATACTCTTGCCGTCGAACTAACCGTGGGAATTTTATTTTTCCGTATAACTTAAATGTTTAGTTCCATCAAAAAGTTTTCCAGTTTATATCAATGCTTGATTCAATAGTTTCAGTNAACACACGACTAGAAAAAATTACAGAAAAAAAATACATTCAAAGACTTAAATTATTCAAACAATTGTGCAATGTTATAAAACAACTACTACATAGCTTACTTCAGGTGTTACTTTAAACTTCCCCATAGTAGAAGCTATTATAATAGTGTAGTCAAATTCGGCTGCCAAATTAAAATAATTCTGAACTTCAAATCTCTTAACATGAGTATTCTTTATGACAATTGGATGAACTCCTTTCTTACAAGCTATTTCAACTCTGAAAATAAAAAGTAAAAATTAAGAAATCATCAATCATGTTTTGCTAAAATTACTCATTCTGAAATAAATTTCCTTAAGAACAAAAATATTAGAACTATTCGGTTTGAATCAAACTACACTGCAAACTTTTAACTGGCTGATAATAAACTGGAGAACCTTGGCTAAGGGATGAATGTCTTGGCATAGGCTTGTTGAGAAGGCCAAGGCCCATCCTGGGCTGTCGTGCCAATGAGAAGAAGAAGATAAATACATACTTTAGTAGGTAAAAAAGAAAAGTAATAATATGAATATATAGGACAATTAACTGTAAAATATAAATTTAAAGTAAAATTATATACACAGTGCTTTCATCATAGAAAAAAAATGGGTGAGAATTTCTCACCCTTTCTCAAAAACAGGGTGAGATTTCAAAAATTTAAGTGAGATTTTTAAAAACTAAAAAAACACAAAAATTCTTGAAAAAAAAATCATTTCTTTCATTATAATACATTTTTAACGTCTTCTATTTTTTAAAACATTGAATATTTTTGGTGCATCATCATAGAAGATTTTGCCTTTACAAGGTATTTGTACATCTTACAGTGTTTTCATTACAGAAATAAAATGGGAGAGAATTTCTCACCCTTTCTCAAAAACAGGGTGAGATTTCAAAAAGTTAAGTGAGATTTCTAAAAATTAAAAAAAAAACACGAATAGACTTGGAGGAAACTATTTCTTTAATTATAATACATTTTTTACTTCTAATTTCTAAACTATTGAATACTTTTGCTGCATCATCATACGGAAAATGTTCTCTATATCTACTTTTTCATCAGCTATTCTCATCAGGTTACTCAAATGCTCATCAGTCTATATGTTACGATATTTTGTTTCAATTCGGTTTTGGGTGCTAAATGACCTTGCAACAGATGCTGAACTATTCGGAATCACTAATTAAATGTGTATCATTGTGCACACACTTTCCTATCCTCTAAATCTGCTAGCATAGGCTTTTCAATAATTTCTGTTATGTGAACAGTGAAGTTCGCTGAAGTTATTTCCATGTTCAAACTTCTTGTTAGGTTTTCCAGCATAGTTTTCACAGACTTCAACTTTTACAAATTGCAGTAAATTGTCGATGAAGGAGTTTGGTAATTCATTAATAGCAAAAAATAGAGCTAACTGTAAATAATATATTATAAGGGACTAATTTTTTTTGCTCAACACTTGTCGTAGCTGTTTTCATGTCTTAAGACGAAATTTTTTCCGAAATTCGCCAGTTTCGCCCATTTTAAAATGGATTAATAGAATGCGCGAACTTCTCGCGGAAATCATTTTTTAATGCGAGAAAAGAAGAAAATTTGCGAGGTTCTCGCGCTGTAGTGAAAACACTGAGTCCCATGTCAAATTATTAGACTGACTCTAAGATTCTATGTAAAATCTTAATTATCAGATGATACTATACAGCTTTAGTGTTTTAATGTGACTGAATTCGATTTGCACTTGTTTACGTTCGTGTATCAATTGGTTATATTATACGATATATAATATAAATTCGACGATTGGATAAATTAGACGATATATTATATAAATATAGAATATTTATTATATCGGATATTATATTAGAATATTATAATAATTAGCCCAAACTATTAGACGCACTGTAGTGTTTTAATAATTGCATGTTTTTCACGAGCTTATATATAATACTTTTATATTTAAACACACATGTAATGGGTTTTTATTTAGGAGATTTGATTTTTTTATATACTTCCTATTTGCATTAATATAATTTTTTTAACGTATTGCATCGCAATGTTAACTAATTGATACGCGAACATAAACCAGTACTAACCGGCTTCAGCCGCTTTTAAACAATAATGCTGAATAGTATCACCAGATAATTAAGACTTTACATAAAATCTTATAGTGCGTCTATAAGCCAAGGACTGTAGTTTTTCAAAATTAGTTTGCTTGCAAATTTCTAAGATATTATTATGTAATGCATGAATTATGTAATAGTACATTATCTATAATTCTTTGGTATTCCTTTTTAATACTTAACAAATCATAATCGGATTCTTACAACACTTGTTGCGATGAAATGTCTCAAATAGCGAAACTATATCTCATGCAGATTTTTTAAAGATTGAAACTACTTCTTTGCATTTTTGAGATTCCTTGTAATTTATATTATGGTTAGGGATGGTTCTCCTTCACAGCCACTGAGCTCAGATAAAATTCTGATAAAACAGGATTTTTTATCATCCACACATGTTGTATTAATAATTAAAACAATCTTAAAATGCTTGCATATAAATTCTCAAATAGCCTTGGTCCTCCCAATAGACTTACAATAATCTTTATTTTTATATATTATTTATTTTATATAGTACATTATACACTACCTACCAATAAGTATTTGGACACGTGTGATTGAAAAGAAAAACAAACTTTATTCATAATCAAGAGTTGGTAGAGCCTCCACGAGAGGCAATTACCGCGTGAACCCTCCGGTCCTTGCGTGACGGTATTTTCTTCCACTCGGCTTGGAGAAGACATGCAAGTTCCTACACCGATTTTGGATGGGTAGTCCACCCCTTAATTCGGCGATCCAACTCGTCACAGAGGTTCTCGATAGGGTTCAGGTCTGGCCTCTGGGCAGTCCAGTCCATTCGATTAACCCCATTGGCACCCTACCGCTTTGGTGACGCTCGCAACATGACAGCTGGCATTGTCGTCCTGGAAGTTCACCCCGTAAAACTGCCGCAACGTAGGAAGCACATTGTCATCCAAAATAGTGCAGTAGGCATCTTGCATGGGACTTATGCCTATGTTGTTCCCCACACGATATATATACCGGAGGAGGGCGTGACGTATCTCAGGACCGCAGATATAGTCATTTGCATAGGTGTCCAAATACTTATTGGTTGATAGTGTAAATTGAACTTTACATTATATATCGATAAACAGGAATTATATTAAAACAACCACACTTTTTACACACTAGACGCTGTTCCAAATTGGAATAAAAGGCTTTTAAAGAGTTCAGGAAAATGATTAGAGTTGGAGAAAAAAATCTTGCAAAACATTCATGTGACAGGATACAAACTTCCATGAATCCTTGTTTTAGTTTATAAACAGTTCAACAGATGGCGCTTACTAATAAACCTATAAATTAAAGAGAGAATGGAAACCGCATCATCGTAGTTCAAAATGTTTCATTGCATGAAACTCTCATAACGATATTCTTGAAATGAGCAACACAGACGAAAAGCACAAGTTGTAATCAAAACACGAACATTTTATATCAAAACGCAGAGAAAGAAATGGTAAAAAGGACTTACAGTGCCATCTTTTAGAAAAATTTTCAATTTAAACCAAAAACTTTGGAGGAAAAAAAACCACTCATTGTTTCATAAATTTGACTCGAGAGTTTTTTTTTTAAAAAAAAAACTGTTTTCATGCTATGAATTTTTGTAAAACTGTCAATCCGACTCGAGAATAACAAATTCTTAGTGTTCATTGCTATTGTTATTCATGGAAAACAGTGTGCTGTTATGCTTTAAGCAGAACAAAAGATTTTTTGTGACTTTAAGCAGAACAAAATATTCTTTTTGTGCTGTTGTGCTTTAAGCAAAACAAAAGATATTTTTTTGCTGTTATGCTTTTAGGCAGAATAAAAGAAACGTTGAGGCCAGTTCTGAAAAATAATTTTTATGACATGATTTCGTACAGAACAGAACAGAATTATTTATACAGAACAGAATTATTTATACAGAACAGAATGATTCACACAGAACAGAATAATTCAAACAGAACAGGAAATAAAAATATAGTACACCGATATGAGAGTATTTATAGCCTACAAATACTTATTTTGATTTATACTTATTTTGACTTATATTTATATTGAATACTTATTTTACATATTTTATTGCGGTCTAAAAAGTTTCATAACAAAAAAAAAAACAAAAAAAAANTAATTTTTAATGACTATAATTTCAAACCTTTGGCTATTTCTTTTATCTTAAAGTAAAATATTAAAAAAACAATTACTAAAAATCAATGATTTCCAGTTCAGTAATTCATGTATCTGTTAAGAGCAACTGTTATTAAAATTTTGAGAAATGATTTAAAATATTTTCTCAATTAGCTGTGGTCTAACCGTTTTTCGTACAATTACAACTTAATAATAAAACAGTTAATCTAGTTTGTTTCGTTTAAAATAAATGTAGAAGAATGAGATATCTTTTAAACAAGTATTTAGAATATCACTGTGAGAAATAAAAAAGTATGGTCAAAAATAAAATATTTTAACTTAAAAACGGACCCTTCACAAAATAATTTATCTTTTAATCGGACCCTTCACAAATTTGTTTATCTTCATTATTGTTTTGTTAATCAAATAAACCCTTCCCGGGGGGGGGGGAGAAAAACAGATGTAAACGAACTAAGTCTTGTCTTTGGCAGACGCTTCTTCCTTTATTTGTCCGAAATGAATATTCTGCGCTCAGCAGTACAGGCTAAATTCCAAATATTTGTATGTTGCATCTCTAATTTAGTAGCAGCAATTGCTGCTTATCTTTTAAAATTAATTTTTTTTTATTATAATTTTACAGTGTTGAGTATAATCTTGTATCTATTTACAATTTAAAAACTCCTTGAAAAAGTTTTTTGCAGTAACAGGACTCTATTTGCACAAATTCACAAAAGCAGGGGCCTGGTTGAAAGAATGTGACTTAACGTTTATTTTATATTCACAAATTACGAGTAGTTTTTTAACGATTTTACAAAAGCGGACCTTTCACAAAATGTCTGGACAGACCCCTGGCTTATAAAATAAAGATCTTGAGAGAGTTAAATAAAATAGTTCTACAACAATGAATAATTTTTCATTATTTAAACAAACAAAAACAAAAAACTTTTAAAACTTTCTGCAAAAAAAAAAAAAAAAAAAAAAAAAAAAAAAAAANAAAAAAAAAAAAAAAAAAAAAAAAAAAAAAAAAAAAAAAAAATTTAACAAATTTAAACTCACTAAAAATATTATTATCACTATAATTATTGAACAAATTACTCAGAATAAGTTCATAAATAAAAATGACTCTGTGTGCAAGTTAATTTTCAATTCCGTATTTGCATTTCTGAACGATGTTCCTATATCGATAAAAAATAATAGAGTTTCATATTATGTATATCACTTTAATAATGAACATTTAATTTATAGAGTTTGTTTTGTTCTACATCTTAATACTATAAATTTTTAATTTTTATGATTAGATTAACACACCTAAACAATTATATATAATATGAGGTTGAACACACGACTAGAAAAAATTACAGAAAAAAAATACATTCAAAGACTTAAATTATTCAAACAATTGTGCAATGTTATAAAACAACTACATAGCTTACTTCAGGTGTTACTTTAAACTTCCCCATAGTAGAAGCTATTATAATAGTGTAGTCAAATTCGGCTGCCAAATTAAAATAATTCTGAACTTCAAATCTCTTAACATGAGTATTCTTTATGACAATTGGATGAGCTCCCTTCTTACAAGCTATTTCAACTCTGAAAATAAAAAATAAAAATTAAGAAATCATCAATCATGTTTTGCTAAAATTACTCATTCTGAAATAAATTTCCTTAAGAACAAAAATATTAGAACTATTCGGCTTGAATCGAACTCAGGGGTGATTGTGAGCTAAAGTCAAAATTCCGGAAAATTTCTTGAGTTAAAAAAAAAAAAGAATTTTAAAAAAAAATTCAAATTGAAAAATTAGAAAAAAATTTAAATAAGGTTTTTTTTCCTTTTTCTCAATATTTCTTAGTTTACTTAAAATATATTTAAAATTTTACACATACCTATACCATTTACACATACCTATGATGACCTGGAGAAATAATTAAAATTTACAAATATGTCTTTCTTTCTTGAGTTTATTATTATAATAACTATTTACTGTTAAAAAATCATGAATATAAGCTTATAAAGTATCTCTCAGACTCTCCCTTACAGACAAATAAAATAAACTGGGTTCTTAAGTTCCATCGATGAAAATTTTTTTTCCAGAAACTTCCGTGATCAATGATTTTTTTAAACGTCTGGACCTTCGATCTCCGGAAACTTTCGGATCACTGTTAGCGAAAAATTCGGAAATCCGGATTTTTTCCGCGCACAATCAGCCCTCAAACTACACAGAATTTTAGCTGGCTGATAAATACATACTTCAATAGGTTAAAAAGAAAACTAATAATCTGAATATATAGGATAATTAACTGTAAAATATAAATTTAAAGTAAAATTATATACATACATGTTTCAAAATTTATTTAACGTGCAGCTTTTTTATACATATTTAAAAAATAATATGTTTCACAGACAAGTAAGTTTCTTTGAATCTATATTTTATTATAATCAACAATTATTTATTTAAAAAAAAGTTACCTATTCTTGCAATATTCATGAGATTTTTTCAAGCTATTTTGATCTCTCTTTGCAGTGGAAAAAGTGTCTTTGAAATAGTTATCAGCAGAGCAAACAACAGCACCTGGATATCTTTCTTCTGAAGACAGTATCTGGGATAAGCTTTCTTTTCCTGTTCCAGCAACACCTCGAATAATGAACATAATTCTTCCATGATTTTTCAGATAATCTAGAGTGTTATCATCTATGGTGTACGGATACCGAAAAATTTCTTCACAATCAGTATCTGAGCCAGGTATAAATGCCTCTTTGCTTCCTGCTTTTGCCATTATGCTGTTAAAAAACAAATAGTTTAACACACATTGAAATAACAAGTTGCTTGTTAATTAATTTGAAAAATTGTAAGGAAAAACAATTACAAATAAAAAGGGCTATTACTAAATAAAAATAAAAGAATACATCACGAAAATTCAAGACTATTTTACATAAGCTAAAAACTAAAATTGGAATTTTTAAATTCATTTAAAAGTAGGGTTAGCATTTCTTCCAATAGTAGAATCAATTTCTTTAATACAAATACAAATTTTATTTATGAAAAAAAATTGGGTGTTGATAAAGAGAAACTTAAAATTTTTATTTTACTCATCCATGGCTAATTTCCAAATGAAGTTTGTAGAAAATCATCAAGCTGCAACATTAGCCAGATATATATTTAACTCTGATGGTCTTTCTCCTCCCCCCCCCCTTTTTTTTAATCATTTAAGGAACACAAGAATTAATACATAGGAATGAAATCTTATTTCCAAAAAAATTATTTACTCAGCAGGCAGCAGTTGATAATTTATTTTAGAGTGTCCAAAAATAAATTTTTTCTATCTAAATATACCACAATATGGCACTGGATTTTTTTTTTTTTTTTGGTATCCAGTGAACAGAAAATGATGCACTCTACCACTTCTCAAAGTTTACATGTGGAGTTCAAAACATGCTATATATATGTCTCTAACGTGTTAAATAGTGAACAAATACACCGTGGGGTTTTCAACTCACAGGAGGCCAGGGGCCGCAATTAAAAACACCAGTCAAATGGCGGGCCGCAACTTTATTAAAATTTTATATAGGACTCTTTTATGTTTGTAGGAACATTAAATATTACTGTCAGATTTTTATCAAGTTGACAACAAAAGTATTGAATTACGAATTAAAATAAGAAGATTTTTAAAAATATTTTATCGCATGTTATAAAATTCTGGCCACAAAATTTTACTAATGTAAAAAATAATTTCGTCAAAAATGAGTGGTTTAAAAAAGTTAAAATTGGAGAATTTCTTTGAGAAAGTTTCTAATACGCACATGTTAAATAATATTCACAAAGAAAAAAATTAAATGAAAAAGAGTAACACACACGAATATTTTTGAATTTGAATAAATACTTTCTTGGATGCAAAACCTGAGAAGTAAATTTTTTTGTACCGTTGGTATGTTAAATTTCGCAAAAACAAAGAAATTAGGGGGGGTTTAACGAAGGAAAAGTACTTTAACCCATATAGTTTTTATGAAAATTGTCAACAAAAAATGACAAATAATATATTTAAGTTCGTGAGCCACAAAAAAAGCTTCGCGGCCCGTTAGTTGGTAACCACTCATCACTATTACACCCTTAGGTGTCTGGAAACCCGGTTTACTTCACACCAGGTAAAATTACAATAATTCAGTTTTATTGATAAATATACAGTTATTTATGATTAAATTAATTGTAAATATTCTATATTACAAGTATGCTAATAATAATAAAATAAGTTGCCCCCCATATATGCTGCATTGGAAAGTGCCATGCATCTTATATGTCCGTATTGGTCTATAAAGGGTTAAGCAAGAGAAATAAGTACTTTTATTTACAGTGGAGAAGCTTAATACATAACGTCAATAAAATTCAAAAGAGATGTTAGAGTGCTAGTTTTTACATACAAAACAAACTTTTTAAAAATTTGTTTTCTTCTTTCAATTTTTCTAAAAATTTCTTAACAATTATGATGACTACAACTTTATATTTGTATTAGACAATATGATTATACAATTATTACACAGTAAATAAGGCAGTCTTGATCATACTTATAAGTACAGGGAATAGAAATAATAATAGTAGGATTGGTTAATGATCATCACGGTACTTATGAAATTAATAAATTTTTATTATTACAGCATTATTTCATAATTAAACATTTCAAAAATTAATAAGTACTGTTCTAAAAATAAGCACAAATAACAACATGAGAATTTGAACAAATAGCTAGCTAGAAAACTCTTTTCCTGATTATGAGAAACTGGTTTCTTATCAAATGAATAATGAATAAAAACATATAAAAAAGAGTTAACTAAGTTCAAAGCATTTCGTTAATTAGGTATTAAAATCATTAAATTACCAATACTAATTCAAATCGACGATTCTTTCAAATATTCCTGAAATACATTCATTAAACACTCTTTGACAAATCACACTGAAACTATCGACTTTTAAACAACGAACTCAAACCGAAACTAATAACAGCTATTGCCATTGTTAAATAATAAATTATAAAAATATCTTTTTATTCCAAATTAATCTTTATTTTTAAAAGTTATTGATAGAATCCGAAAGAAAGAAATAGCTTTCATTGAAAAATAACCTATATTTGAAATTTAATATTCGTAGAAAGTCAGTATTCTTTTGTAATCATATTTCTCAATGAATGGCAACACTAAAGTAAAAGTTTCGGTTTCGATATTGCAAGTAAATAAATAAAGATGGGAATTCCCTTTTCCATTCACGTTCATCAACAAAAATTTAACGATTGTATATTGAGTTACTTAAAGGTATGGTTGATTAGTTACTGTAATTTATTTTAACTACACTACAGTGTTTCGATTATTCTAGATTTTTGATCGTTAGTTAAATTAGTTTTTTGAAATTTATTGTTCCATCGTTAATATTACAAAGGTAAGGTATAATATAAAATAGAAGTTAAAAAAAATTTACAAATTATTTTTTTTATAAAAGTGTAATATGTAGCACTTAAATGGCTAAGATGATTTACTAAGTCATGATTGGTGACTCACATTAATATTGTATTTGATTACTAAAACTGAACGCGAGGAAAACTGGTTTTCTGCTGATCAAAATTATATAATTAGATTTTTAAATTAAATTTGAATTAGTGCCTTATTAGAAAAGGCACACTTTATAAGTAAATAAGATTTTGTCAGTTGTTTTTAAACATCATTATGTTACAATGATGTTTACCTGCTAAATTATACTACAATTTTATTGTACAAGTGCTTCACATATATATTCCATGTATGAGTAATCAAGATAATGAAGCAAAAAGCATCTGTATCTATTGTTTATGCAGTTTTTGCTGTAGCATGCAAAACCAAAACAGGGCTAAAAAAGAAATGGCCCATTAGCTAGAAAAAAGAGTCATCAAATTTAAGCTCTTGCTAAAGTGTTTATTAAATTTCATAATTTTTTTCAAAAGTAACAAACATACTAAATTCTGTTTTTAAGAAAAACAATTATCAGATTTACTGAGTTATGGAGTATTATTTCTTGATCTAACGATTAAGTTATTTGATATTAGTATTTACTTTGCCTTTCTCTTTGCAAATTTTGGTTTCATAAATCCTGAACTCACACATGAAAATACTGTGTATGATTCAGGTCTGTAAAATTGAAGTGATTGAGTTAATCTCTAACTAGGAGTTAGCTCTTATTAAAAAGTAGCTCTGTATTAAAAATTAGTTGAATTTGTATTATAATCATTGTATTAATGCAACTATAATTTTCAAACTGTTTTCACTTCAGTTGTAAAAAAAATTATATTAAGATTAGGACTGGGTGATATTAGAAATTATATATCGTGATATATCGTCAGTTTTGCATCGCGATATAGCGATGTATCGCGATATAGTATTTTTGAATTTCATTTACTTTAAGGCACAGAAAGTCAGATTTCTATCAAGACTTCATACGCATATTGATTTAAATCAATTTATAAATTTGAAAATATATATGTTTTGCTAAAGAAAGATAGTAAATAAATTGACTAAGATGTACAAATCTTACTTAAAATATTTATTGAAAAAATGTGTGTAGATACAGAATGAAATATTTGCACTTCTTTATCGTTTATAAGGTATAAGCAGTCTTNCAGCTTATTTGTCTGTATTGGTCTGTAAAGGGTTAAGGAAGAGAAATAAGCACTTTTATTTACAGTAGAGAAGCTAATACTTAACGTCAATAAAATTCAAAAACGATGTTAGAGTGATAGATTTTAGATACAAAACAAAATTGTTTACTTCCTTCAAATTTTCCAAAATTTCTTTAACAATTATGATGTTTACAATTTTATACTTGTATAAGACATTTACACAGTAAATAAGGCAGTCTCGATCATACTTATATGTACAGGGAATAGAAATAATAGTAGAATTGGTTAATGATCAACACGGTACTTATGAAATTAATAAATTTTTATTATTACAGCATTATTTCATCATTAAACATTTCAAAAATTAATAAGCACTGTTCTAAAAATATGCACGAAAAACAACATGAGAATTTGAACAAATAGCTATCTAGAAAACTCTTTCCCTGATTATGAGAACCTGGTTTCTTATCAAATAAATAATGAATAAAAACATATAAAAAAGAGTTAACTAAGTTCAAAGCATTTCGTTAATTAGGTATTAAAATCATTAAATTACCAATACTTAATTCAAATCGACGATTCTTTCTAATATTCCTGAAAAACATTCATTAAAATCCTTTTGACAATTCACACTGAAACTATCGACTTTCAAACAACGAACTCAAACCGAAACTAATAGCAGCTATTGCCATTCTTAAATAATAAATAAAAAATTATAAAAATATTTTTTTATCCTAAATTGATCTTTATTTTTAAAACTTATTGATAGAATCCGAAAGAAAGAAATAGCTTTCATTAGAAAATAACCAATATTTGAAATCTAATAATCGTAGAAAGTCAGTAATCTTTTAAAATCATATTTCTCCATGATTGGCAACACTAAAGTAAAAGTTTCGGTTTCGATATTGCAAGTAAATAAACAAAGAAGGGAATTCCCTTTTCCATTCACGTTTCTCAACAAAAATTTAAGGATTGTATATTGAGTTACTTTAAGGTATGGTTGATTAGTTGCTATAATTTGATTTTAACTACTCTGGAGTGTTTCAATTATTCTATATTTTTGATCGTTAGTTAAATTCGTTTTCTAAAATTTATTGTTCCATCGTTAATATTACAAAGGTAAGGTATAATACAAAATGGAAGTAAAAAAATTTTTAAACATTATTTTTTTTATAAAAATTTAATATGTAGGGCCTAAAAGGCTAAGATGTTTAACAACATGATTAGTTATCTAAATTGTATAACTAGATTTTTCAATTAAATTTGTATTAGTGCCTTATTAGAAAATGCACTTTTTATAAGTAAATAAGATTTTGTCAGTTTTTTTTTAAACATCATTATGTTACAATGATGTTTACCTGCTAAATTATGCTAAAATTTTATTGTACAAGTGCTTCACATTTATATTCCATGTATGAGTTATCAAGATAATGGAGCAAAAAGCATCTGTATCTATTGTTTTTGCAGTGTTTGTTGCAGCATGCAAAACCAAAACAGGGCTAAAAAAGATATGGCCCATTAGCTAGAAGAAAGAGTCATCAAATTTAAGCTCTAGTTCAAGTGTTAATTAAATTTCATAATTTTTTCAAAAGTAATTATCATACTAAGTTCTGTTTTTAAGAATAAAAATTATGAGATTTACTAAGTTATGGAGTATTATTTCTTGATCTAAATATTAAGTTATTTGATATAAGTATTTATTTTACCTTTCTCTTTGCAAATTTTGGTATCATAAATCCTGGACTCGCACATAAAAATACTATATGATTCATATCTGTAAAATTGAGAATGGGTTATTTTCTAACAAGGAGTTTGCTCTTTTGTATTAAAATTTAGTTGATTCTTTATTATAATTATTATATTAATGCAATTATAATTTTCAAACTGTTTTCACTTCAGTTGTAAGAAAATTTATATTAAGATATATATACAATTTTGGTAGTTCTAGTATTGATTGTTCGAGTTTACCATAAATCTGAGCTTGTAAAAAAAGGTCAGTCTTGATCTCAAATTATTATCAACCCCCACAAAACCTGGGTAGTGATTGCTACAACTGGTTTTACAACGATTGCAATGACTGAATATTGAAAAACAAGGCAAGTTAATGATCACATAATTGATGAAGACGATTTGCCTCTGTTAAACCTAATAAAAAAAATTCCAGGTTGCAAAAACACTGACATGGCAGTGGTAGATGAATACAAAAATAGTAATGAACAATTAGAATTTACAGGTGCTGCTGAATGATTGAGACTCCTCCAATGTATGAACACAGCAAAGAGGAGAATCCAGCAAAATCATTCAACAAATGAGTTAAAGCAAGGGTCTTGCTGCTTTTGAGTCTGCAATGCGATACGTAGCGAAACAGCTCAAGAAAACTTCAGGCGACAGTATGCTACTTTGACTATAATGTTATGTTGCTAAGTGAAAAAGTAGCAGAGTGTTTAGACAAAATAAATTATACAATTATTTTAAAGTGCAATAAACCTAATGTAATAATATGAGGAATAATTTAACTTGCTATAAGACAGTAAATTTACCTTGATTCTCTAATGAAAATAAATTTTCAATGAATGTAAAATATTTATTTATTAGATTCTGAAAATTAAAAATTGATTTTTCTTCCTTTCTTTAAATAGTTACTAAATTTTATGTTTTCAATAATTTGAAATTTTGAGGTAGGATCAGTCCTGTCCACATCGAATTATGGAGACAACTGTATATTATTAAGATATATATTATCCATAATATTATATATGACTTATTCACATTTTTATTGATATCAAGTTCATTTTTAGGTATGGCTAATTTCAACAGAAGAAAGATTGAAACATCTTTTGAAAAATCATCTGAAGAATATTTAAATACATTTAAAAAATATCCTGTTGGTTGTGATGAAGATAAGGAAAAAATATTTTGTTTTCCCTTCATATTAGATAAAGAAACAATATTGTACATTGAGAATTATGCTAAAATAATGTTCATTATCCGAGGTCCACCAAGCACTGGGAAAGCTTCATTGAGTGAAATGATAACAGAAAGATATCCACATGCTATTTATTGCTGTGCTGATCGCTATTTTACGAATTCGTTTTCACGGTCGGAACGTACTCGAGAAAGTATTAAGGAGTCGCATGTATATTGTACCAAGAAGTAAGATTGAGATTTATGTTTAGTTTTTAAGATGTTTTACATTAAGAGCATATTCTGTATTAATTTGCATATATATTCTATAGCATTTAATTGATTAATTTAAGTTAATAATTTGCTTTCATCATATTTTGATATTTTTTTAAACTTAACAGTTTTCCTAACTTCTGCAGTGCAATTTTCTTACAGCAGTGTTCAAATATCTATCAAATTTTAAAAAATTTTTATGAACCCTATTAAGGTAGATATTGTAAATAAATTTTATTTTTGCTTTACTCGAACACAGTAAAGTAATTTTTTTAATGTAGAGAAATATATTCTTCAACACAGTTTAAATGAGATATAGGTTTAGGCAGTGTTCCCCAACCTTTTTATCACTGCGGACCTGTCTACGTTTGATAATTTTACCGCGGACCGCTGGGGGGGGGGCGTTGAATGTTTATATTTTAGATAATTTTGATTTTTAATTTAATTGTATTTAAACATGCCTTCAAAATAAATACAGTTACACCAAAAAATAAATATAAAGTGATTTAGCATTTTAACTTACTTAAAAATTAAAGTACTATTTATTAGTCACGATCGAGAGAGAAGACGAAGTTCTTCATTAGTTCCAATGTAAATTTCCCGCATTCGTGTTTTATTTATGGTTATGATAATTGATTTTTTATTTATTACAACTAATTGAATGAGAAAATAGTTGCAGTGGTTTTCTTTCTTTTCTTTTTTTTTTTTTTCACTTTTAAAAACATTAAAAATTTTATGTCCCAATCTTCGGGGGGGGGGCCCTTTTTTTTAAATAAATCAAATTTTTATGGAACTATTTTTAATTTGGAATATAAACCTAGGAATTTAAATTCAGTTTCAATGAAATGGGTGGACCGGTACCATTTGATCCACAGACCAGTACCGATGCGCGGACCGGGGCTTGGGGAACACTGGGTTAAGGCATTTATCAACAACAATGAAAATTATTATTACAGTTTCATAAATTTCAAATAGTTATTTAATTAAGGAAAGTGTGTGCAAAAACACAAGAAATTATTAGTTTAGAGTCAATAAGATGTATTTTTAAAAACTCTATTAAATTTAATTATTGTATCATTTATAAGTAAAAAAATATGTTACAATGTATAGGTAGAGAAGCTTTAAACAATGATGTCCCTCCCTTTTTTTTAAGTTAGGTAATAATCGAAATTACAAAGTATGCCTTTTCAATCATTTAATATGATGCAATGATCATGGAATAAATCTGAAATCTCTTAAAACATGTAATCTTTATTTTGTAATTTTATTCTTTGTATGTTGTTTTTAATTTAAATAGTGTACAAATATTTGTTTTATATTTATCTATGCTTCTTTCAAAGATGTCAAAGTTTGATATGAAAAGGGAAAAAAATAATGTATGCCATTGTCAATAGAGAGTTGACTAATCTCGGGCGTCATCGCGCACAGATGAATTGAGAATTCCTTGACAACTAAATTTTACAATGTACATTCTACTACTCTTTATTTGCTATATACAGGAAGATTTGTTAGCAAAAAAATTTAAAATTAATCATTTTTTCTCTATAAAACAAAATCATTTATTATTTTAATGCTATAACTTAAAGGCAAGACTAATATATAGATCCCTTTAATGTTTATATTAAAGGTAACAATATAAATTTACCAACTGCTTTTGTGATTTTATAGGAATTAAATTTTAAAAGACTTATTTCTTTAAAAAATTTTCTGCATTTGGTTATTTAAGTGAATATTTAACTCTTTTATTATAAAAAGACGCACATATATTCGACCTATATCACTAGGCAAGTATGTATATTTATAAAAAACTGGTTTCTTATTTCGGTGCAAATGTGATAAAGTCGCAATAATTCCAGAAGCCGGCTCCTAAGAATTCCTTGTGGCTCTCAAAGTTTTAAAACTTTTGTCAATACCTGGTCATGTCTCTTTAATTTCTTCCGTGATGTCTCAGGTGATAAAGTGCTCGCTTCCCAATGAGGTAACAAAATCAAATCCTAATGATTGCTGGTCGATGCAAATTCCACACCCGAATTGCACTGACCACAGTGCTAACGTAAAATATCCTCAGTAGTAGATGGATCATGGATTAGAGTTCCCTTACCATCAGACTAACTGTGATAGGCTCTCTTGGTTTTTCTATCTATGTAATGCAAATGCGGGTTAGTTCCATCCAAAAGTCCTCCACGAAGACTATCTTAATCCTAGAGTTCCCTTGTCTTCTGGGTTGCAATTAAAATTACACGGCTACGGAGTTGAACACTGGTAGTCATAAACTGAAAATCAGGTCAGCTGTTCAACAACAGTTATAATATTAAATAAAATCTTACAATTTTTGTGTTTTTCTCATGTTTTTATTTATCTTTCAAATTTCAGAGCTGAAAATGCTTGCAAATCTAGCGCACAAACCATAATTGTGCAGAATACTCATATGAGGAAGTGGGAAATGCAACAGTATCTAGATTTCGCTGCCTTGTATAACTACACTGTCATAATGGCTATAACATTATACAGATTTGACTGCACACCTAAGGTTATTATTATTTTTGTGAAATTTAGCTGATGGATGCTAAATAATGTCATTTTTATTAAAAAGTAATAATTATTTTTAGGCTCTTGCTGAAAATAATACCGATGGTTTGGATATAAAGTATTTTATAAATAGACTTAGACAATGGGAAGATGTTTTACCTTTGTTCACTGGTTGGTTTATCTCGCCTGATGACTCCTCACACATTCTAAGTCACACTCTAAAAACCTTGGAAGCTTTACTGAATGACGGAAAATTTTGCAGAGTTTTCGATGTCTATGATATTGGTATGAATTCTATTTTGTTTTGCATGTAATAATATGAAACAAAATTGCATTGTATATTTGATATTTACTTAAACTATGGTATTGTTTTGTAAAATTATGTGAGATAGATTTTAATATAACAATTAAATTAAGTTGGAATTTAAATGTTTTGTTTCTTTGATTGATTTTAAAAAATATGATTTGATTTTATGGTTGTTTGAATTCAGTAATGGAGTGAGTCTCTTTAATTTTTTTTTCAATTAATTTCATTCAAATAATTGAAAGCTAATACCTTCAGACTTTAATTGTTAATAGCTACATTTTTCTGTCATCAGTTATAAACTGAAAATCGAATCGTATTTGAAATATGACTTATTATTATAAAAACAAATCAATGTTAATGTATACCCACTAAAATCTTATTCTCTTAACTTTCAAGTTTCTGTAGCTATAGTTTTAAGAGTGTTGTTAAAATTATTATAAAGTAGTTATGCAATAAAAGATGGAAACTCTTACATCACTACAATTAGAATGCAAAGTTAGTGTTCCTAATCTCAAAAAACAATACAAGATGGGAAAAAAGTGAATTATAAAATTGTAGATCTACAATGACTTAGTTCAAAAGTAAATTTGGTCCATATCAATTCTAATAGCGAAAAGTTTAAACAACCCAGCACCTTTATTTTTTATTTATTCATGATATTCTAAACTGTGACTTAACATCTCAGGAAAATTAGTTTAATTATTACAAAACTCCTTTATTTTTGATGTCTCAACTTGCTGATCCAAAATGAAAGCATTTCTAGGATTAATACCTAAGTTTGCTTTTACTTTCTAAAATCATGTCATTATATGTTATATTTTTTGAAGTCACGAATAAACAAATGTGCAATTTAAGGAATCTATTTTTTGAAATTAATTTCCATAGTGCATTTTTGTACTAAGTCATAATTTTCTACTTTAATTCAGTTACTGTAAAATACTGAACAAGCCCTATCCATCTTTGATTAAGCCCCCTTGTATAGTTTCATATAAATATTGATTAGCGATTAGAGCCGAGTAAGCCCCCATCTACCTCCCCACATCCTGAGTTAGATAATATAGTTGCATGCTGTGCGTGGATAAATCCACCGAAATCCTTAAATTTTACTGACATTTTTGTTAAAATTAACTGAAGTGACCACACAAGTTAAAACATGAAATATCGCGATTTGAATCCCTCAATCCCTTTGGTTCTTCTTTGTACATTTTCTTATCAGCCTAAAGGCTTATAGGCTAATTTTAACAAGCCTAAAAATATTAGGCAGATTAGAAAATACTGTAGATTTTCCGAATTAGTATTGCTCATTGCAAAAGATCATGAACAATTGTGAAAAGAGCCAGGCTTTGTAATTGACAAAGGACCTTATTATTTTAGTCATTATAATTGGATATGAGAAATATAAGTTTTATGTTTCAGAGAGAAATTTTATTTACGGCATATATTTTTAATGAATGACTTTTGACTAGCATCTATGAAAACTTGCAGTTTTTATGAAATATGGAAGAAGGAAAGTTTTTTTAATCTATGTATATATAAGTTATGTTATTTTAAAATCAATGCATTTTGTTCTTTTCATATGTTTTGTTTGTCTTTAAATGAATTTAAAATCTTTTATATCTTATGATTATTTAATTATGTTAAACATTATTTTACATTCTAAATTTGACTGATAATAATGAGATTATTTCTTATCTTGTTACAATTGCTATATTTTTCATTATTTTTTATATATTTTTTTTTTCAGATGGCATTAAAGATTACTTTAAACCGCGACAAGTATTTTATTGCCCTGCAGCTTTCTCAAAAAACCCATATTTTATGAAAAAGTACTATTTGTCGGATCTGGTAATTATTTTTTCCCTTATAAACATTATATGTTTCAATTACTGTTATTGTTTTCTGTTCTATATCGGAAAGTAAAATTTACATTTTTCACTAAACTGGTTAAAGACTTATTATTCTTTAAAATACTATTCATTATCATCATCAGAAATGCTTACTACAATAGATTTTCTGTAATTTTTATTACCTAATAATTTTAATTTCTTCTACAAAATTACTGAAAAGTTAACATTGTAGTATTGCAAAGCCAATTTACAAGATTTTATTTTGCCAAAGGCACCCACAGGTCGGGGAACAAGGAAAAACCTGTAAAGTCTCGGAATTTTATTTTGATTTAAAAAGGCAAGGAAAATTAAAATTTTTTTACAAAAACCTGGTAAATTCCTACATCATATCTGGTAAATAACCAGTCTCAGAATTGCCAGTATCAGTAATCAGTTATTGAGATTCTAGTTAAGTGATTCTAACATCTATTACAATTATTTGTTATAAAAATTTTAAATTTTAGTGAAATTTCCATGATTCCATTCTTATTCAATGATACTTATTGCTCACAAAATCTAATATTTGACATTACAAAGAAAAATTCAATGTTTTTTGATGAAAAATCGCATTGCATAAATAAATTATTGTCTGAATTTGCATTGAAATATTCTTGAGATGCTTGAAAATATATCATGATATACTTTTCTAATTCTTGATATACTTTTTTTTTCTGAAATTAAATGGGAGCCTTATGCTACTTATTTTCTGATGCATTTTTTTAATTTGTAAATGACTCAATATCTTTGAAATTCTCATATGTTCTCTTATTTGTTTAATAATTGAATCTTTTCAAAAAAAACAAACTTTTATTTGTTAATTAAGTTAATTCCGAAGAACTGAAAAGCTATTGGTTTCAAATGGTGACTAAAACTCGTTAGAAACTCTTGACTTAAATTAAACTCTTATTTATGTTCTCATATGTTCTCTTATTTGTTTAATAATTGAATGTAAAGCAAGCTTTCTTATACTTGCTATCACCTTTGTTGTCACCTTTATATAATTTAATCAATTAATGATTAATATTTTATTGATTAGAAAATTTTTACCTGTGGGATATAGATTAAATATTTCATTTTAGTATGTTATTCTTAGGCTTAAATATAAGAAGTCTTACATTAAACCTTATTTTTCTAAAATCAATCTCAAACACATTTCAAATACTAATATGATCTCTTTAAAATTAAAAAAAGTTTTTTTTTTTGTTTACTTTTTTAGGAAAGAGAAATTAAGTAGATAAGAAACTGAAGTGAAGCTCATATATATATTAAAAATGTAATTACTAATTTTTAAAAAAAAATTCTTGAAATGCACTAAAAGACAGATATTATACGTTTTTCTGCAAAAATTAATGAATCAAAATTAAATTTAGTTAACGTACTTCTAAAAAATAAAATTAAAATAAAATTGGAAAAAAAGTAGATTAAGTTGGATTAAGTTAAATATTTTAGTTCTATAAGTTGTTAATCTTCTAATCCTTTTTTAAATAAATTTTAACTATTACCAATTAACTATAAATTTTAACTATCATTCTATCTATATTTTTTTTTTGTTAAGTTCATGCTTCTTACAGAAAGTGTTTTACTCTCTGTTATTAGAAACTCTTGATTTAGATTATAATCTGCTGAAATAGCTTGCTATATCTAATTTTAAACTTTCTATTTACTAAGTTTTCAAGTGAAAGCCACTCTGCCTGTTTAATAATTAAGAAACAATATTGTTTACTTTATTTATCACTTTTTATAACACTATATATATAGTGTATATTCATAGAAGTTCCAAAGTATATTCAGAGCCACTACTAAGATCTTTTGTGACTAAATAGACAAAAATTGTCCTTAAAGTTTACCATCAGCCTTAGGAAAAAATATTCTGAATGCAAAAGAGTTATTCCAACACTACTAGTATCTCTGTCCATCTCAAGTCCAACTCATCTATTGGTCATTGAAATGGGCTATAGGTGGTGCATAGCAGAACTTTGTACCTATACCTATAGCAACACTTTGCATGCTTTCACCATTAGCCTGTGGATAATCATAGGAGAAGGAAGCACATTATCTGATTTGATTTTTCAAACTGATTTTAAAAAAATTTAGGCTTGGAAACTATATGGAACTCAAAACTGCATTAAACATAGTTTTTAAAGAAAGTGTCTAGGAAATAAAAGAAAATATTTTTGACAGTAAAAAGCAAGAAATATAATGGAAGGGGGGAAATTGCAGTGAAATCTAATACGACTAAGCAGAGTGGGAAGGGACAAAACACGGACTTCAGGATTGTGAAAAACTTTAAAATAAATAAATAAATAACTTGGGAAAAAGTAGATTGCTGTAGCTTAAAAACTGAATACTTCGATACTTTAACTTATTAATTTACTTATGCTTTTTAATAAAATAAAATCAAAAATAATCATATTTATCTGTGTTCATTGTTGTTAGGTTCAAGCATCTTATGGAAAGTGTTTCCCTCTGTACATCTATGGATATATGGTGACCACAAATGGCATTTTTGCCATTGTGTATTTCAGTACAAATATAACACATCTGCTTCTAAAACCAAACTCTGGCGAAGAAGATTCTCAATCCAGCTTTGCAGATATGATGAATTCCCTCAATATCCATCCCGATCTTTCCGAAAATTTTGCTTCTTTTCCCGAGAAAGTACCTGAAAAGACGACTGTTTGTTTTGAAGATCAAGACAGCGCAAAAGAATTGGAGTCTTCTAAGTGTTGCTTTATAGATTTGGCAAGAAAAGAGGCTTCAAAGTTTGATATTGAAACAGTTCAGCAAGAATTTAACCAATTAATTAATTTGATAGTTGATGCCAATGGAAATTTAAATGCTGATGAGTGCACTGAAATTGGAAGTGGAAATGACGATAAAATTTTTCGATTGCCAAATGATAAATGGTTTATTAAACCATCAAAAATTATGTGCTTGAAGAGCATTTTTACAGGTTATTATGTTTAACTATATATTTATATATATAATACTTAAGAACTCTTAATTTCTGCTTCAGTGTTAAAAGCTTTTGTTATTACTTAATTATTTTCCTGGTGCTTTCATACTTATTGGTTTTTCATTCCAAAATTTTGGATCGAATAACATTTTGATTTATTTTTTTAGTGCCATTATATTTTCTAAAGTATGATAAATTTTCTTTTATAGTTTTATGTAATTACTAAGGTAGGAACCTTCTTGCTTGGTTCACCAATCTAAACTATTGTTTTGCAATAATTTTTTCCCTTGATAATAAACGTATTTCCTTATTAAAATTAAAAATTATTTTATTCACTTAAATGCTCCGCTCTCCAACTTAATGATTTATTCTCATTCTTAATTTTTTAGTGTCACTGTTTTTTTGTTTGTTTGATTTTTTTTTCTATTATCCAATTTTATGGCTGTTTATATTAAAATGATAGCAACAGTTGTTACTGTATCATTTAATTATAAACAGCTTGTATTACTACTGTGTGTATTACTATTTATTACTTATGACTTATAATACTTTTTATACAATGATCAATTTATTACATCCGACTCTTTTTTACTGTATTGTACCCTGTTATATACTGCATCCTGTAATGTGAGTTGATTTATCAATGTATGCATAAACTTTACCAAATGTTAATGTATTTTTCATTGAATATTTAGATTATATTTCATATAACATATTCATAAAGTATCTATTTTGTTGGATTTTAAGATTGTTAATAAAATTTGGACTGAACTGTTTCCAGCAATTCCTCTCTTGCACATTTTCGATATGATTTGTTGGTTTATGTTATAGAAACTTTCGGAANTTCGATTGCCAAATGATAAATGGTTTATTAAACCATCAAAAATTATGTGCTTGAAGAGCATTTTTACAGGTTATTATGTTTAACTATATATTTATATATATAATACTTAAGAACTCTTAGTTTCTGCTTCAGTGTTAAAAGTTGAGTATTGTCAAATGATAATCGGTTTATTAAACCATCAAAAATTATGTGCTTAAACAGGGTGCGTAGTGTTTTTAAAAAGTGTTCAAAAGTGCTTATTTTTGATTTTTGTTCTTTAAAAGCCCGTTAAGGTGCTTTTTTCATTGGATATTTTTAAAAAGTGCTTAATTTTCCCTTTTCCAAATTGAGATTTTTCCTGTACCATGTTGATTTTAGCTGCGAATTATGCAGAAAGACACTGTTCGCATTGTTCTATTCAACTTTTTCACAATTAATTCAACCCCAATCTATTTCGGCACATCATCAGTCTGTAGCGTATGAAAACGCCATTCGATTTACATGATTCGAAAATTTTGACAATTGTCAAAAACAATGCCAAAAAATTTTTTATTTTGACATCACTGTTAAAACCGTCAATTGACAAAGACTTTCCAACCCTGCCTAGTTGTGATATTTTTTTTAAAGTGCTTGAAAAATGCTTATTTTTTGTTGAATAATTTGGCTACGCACCCTGTTAAAGAGCATTTTTACAGGTAATATTTAACTATATATTTATATATATAATACTTAAGAAAACTCGTAATTTCTGTTTCAGTGTTAAAAGCGTTTGTTATTACTTAATTATTTTCCTGGTGCTTTCATACTTATTGGTTTTTCATTCCGAAATTTCGGATCGCATAACATATTGATTAATTTTTTTTTATTGCTGTTATATTTTTTAAAATATTATACATTTTCTTTTATAGTTTTATGTAATTACTAGGGGAGGAACCTTCTTACTTAGTTCACCAATCAAAACTATTGTTTTGCAATAATTTTTTCCCTTGATAGTAAACATATTTCCTTATTAAAATTAAAAAATATTTTATTCACTTAAATGCTCCACTCACCAACTTAATGATTTATTCTCTTTCTTAATTTTTTAGTGTCACTGTTTTTTTTGTTTAATTGATTTTTTTTTTCTATTATCCAATTTTATGGCTGTTTATAATAAAATGATAGCAACAGTTGTTACTGTATCATTTAATAATAAACAGCTTGTATTACTACTGTGTGTATTATTATTTATTACTTATGACTTATGATACTTTTTATACAATGATCAATTTATTACATTCGACTCTTTTTTACTGTATTGTACCCTGTTATATACTGCACCCTGTAATGTGAGTTGATTTATCAATGTATGCATAAACTTACCAAATGTTAATGTATTTTGCATTGAATTTTTAGATTATATTTCATATAACATATTCATAAAGTATCTATTATGTTGGATTTTAAGATTGTTAATAAAATTTGGACTAAACTGTTTCCAGCAATTCCTCTCTTGCACATTTTCGATATGATTTGTTGGCTTATATTATATAAACTTTCGGAATAGAATATTTTGTTAATTTTTATGTGAAAAAAGAATAAAACTAAAAAAAAACATTAGGAATGTAAAAAATATTTTGAAGTGAATGAGAAAAAGAATATGAATACATAAGGAAAAGGGTTTACTGTAATTACTGCTTTAAATGTATATTTTTAGAATCTTTTTCAAAAATGAAATAAAAATTTTATTTTTCATAAGTTTAAAAAAAAAGTTATTCAAATCATTATCAAGAATGGCCAAGTTGAAAACATAAAAATAAATCTAATTGATGGATGAAACTTCTCAGTGTTTCTTATTATCTCCTTTCAACTCTATAAATTTCTCCAACAATCAAGCAGATTTTCATGCTTTTAACTCACCTTACTCAATAGTGATTCATTTGATTTTTAATAGCGTATTTTTCCACATTTAAATATTCATTGAAGTTCACAAAATAATAGTAGTAATAATTAATAGAATTTTGACTTTATTTTAGAGAAGCATTCTAAAGATATGTGAAATTTTCTAAATTTGTTTAAAAAGCTTACTTACATGCTTGCTTACAAAGCTTATAGGATTTGATTCTTTTCCTGTGCCAAATTTTTTAAATAGAAAGGATTATTATTTTGGAAGACTCTTGTCTTCTGAGTTAAGTTTAAAATTGCAAGACTGCAAAATTGATTATTAATATCCTGAAGTCAGTTATGACTTGACTGTTCAACACTTATGATAATAAATAAAAGCAGTTTACAACAAAGGAATGTTTTCATTATTTGTGATTCTAAAATATTCTACCCGATTTAATAATTATTAATGAAAAAAAATTAATTTCACAAATAGAAAACATTGTAAGAGTTAATTCAATGAATGATTTCTATCCTTTTTTGTATGTAATAATTTATGTTAAAGAAGATATGAAGCTGCATGAGTAAAGCACGAATTTTAGGGACCTAAGAGACCCTGAAAAATATTCTTAAAATCCAAAAATTACCATATTACTTATTGCATTTTCGCAGTTTGTTGGCAAAAAAAAAAGAAAAATTACTTCTAAAGATTTTGTATCAATAACATAATAGGAAAATCTATGGTGGTATTGTGAGTTAAAATGTAAAATTGTAAGAAGAGGGTGCATAACGTTTTTAAATGTGCTTTTTTTCGTTTTTTAAAAACCCTTAAAGGTGCTTTTTCAGAGGTGATTGTGTTCCGGAAAAAATCCGGATTTTTCCCTAATTGCGCTCCGAAAGTTTCCGGAAATCTTGGGTCCAAAAATTTCAAGATATCATCAATCACATTTATGTATAAAAATTCTTGTACATTTTATTTAAAAATATTAGAACTAGGCCATGGCACAGAATAGATCAAGATGGCAAAAACGTTTTGGGACGGCCTTGGCCTGTCATGGGCTGTAGTGCCCAATAAGAAGAACTAGAATTTATACTTGGCATCTTTCATTTGTAAATATTTTTTCTGCTAGAGTAAAAAATGTGATTAGAGATAAAAAATAAACTTATACATAATTATTCATTTAAATTATGCTGTATGTAATTTATTTAGAATTCAATGTTTTGAAAATATCAATGATTTAAATTTATAAAGATATTATGCGTCTTTAATGATTTTACTCAAAACATTTTCCGGATTTTTGAGTTAGACTCACAATTACCCCTGCTTTTTTCATTGGGTGTTTTTAAAAAATGCTTAATTTTCCAAGTGTCCAAGTCTATTAATCTCTAAAAAAATGACGATTATAAATATATTTATACAGTTACAGCAAATGAAATAAAAAAAAACACATAGAAATAATTCTAAAAACATGGGTTGTGTATTCTATTTATCAAATTATTTTAAAAGCAAATTATTACGCTTTGAAATGAAGAAAAATTTTAAGTAGGTAAGTGTGAAATAAAATAATTTTCAAAATATTATAATATTCATAATTCTATATTTAATAAAGAAAAATAATCATTTATACAAATGGTGCATATTCGACGAAAAAAATAGCGAGTGGAAGGCTAACCCTAATTTTGTCCTTTTTCTCTTTGTTTAACTATTTTTTTGACACCCCAAGTCTAAATCGCTGTAGTTTTTCGGTGGTTATCACTACGAATTTCCAAAGTTTTAAAAATCTCGATATTTTTAATACGACGAAATTATAATGCTTAAATTTCGAATTTTTGTCAATTTTGAAGTTCTTTATTTTATATATGATCTAGGTGAATATTTTCGGAGGTTATTGCCGAATTTCCATGTGTTAGGACTCGCGACTTTCGTATCGTTGTTGTTGCTGTCGTCGGCCATTAATTCAGAGTGGGTGCTATTATTCTTGTTTTCCACTGGCCCCATTATGACCAAGAATTCCACTTCTGACGCACCCATACGTCATATCCGTTTATTCCGTTCATACATCCATTCATTCGTCCACAGATCGTAATTATGACCTGAACCAGCGAACGATCAATCTCCAATTCAGTACCCCCAGAGGTATTGATTTGTACTGGGAACATGGAGGACTTTGTGACCTAACAGATTTAACGTGCCCCAGTCACCATTTACTACATGGTTAGTCTTCGGCAGGCTAGATTCGAAGTCCCGTTCTCACAAACGTGAGGGCAGTGCCCTGAGTAATAACTTTTGGCTTGCTTTATTTGTGCGGATTTCATCGCACACCTAGGTTTTTTTATTTATTTTTTTTATCGCACTTTCAACAGTTGTTGCTTGGCTCTTCCACAGGGTTTCGAAAATCCTGATTTTTTTTTTTTAATATTATAATGAATTGCGAGTTTCGAATTCGACGTTTTAATCATTATTTATGACGTACTGTATGTGTGCCATTTTCATCATCAATCCATGTTGTTTTTTTCAGTTCCTACTATTTATTTCCACTTTTTAAAAAAAAAAAAAATCGACTTTTTTTTTTACAAAACTTTAAATTCGAATGTGAGTTTCAAACTATTTACTGTTTTTGAGCTTTATTCCTAATTGTTGGTACTTTTAAAAAAGTACTTAGAAAACTGTCTTAAATTTTAACATTCATGAAATCTCTTATAATTCGCTAAATATAAATGCCCTAATGTTAAAAATATACTAAACACTAATATCAATTGAATGCTGAAGTTAATTTTGAGCTATAATGCGTTTGTTTTATTTAAAATCATTTTAGACGTCGTACAATTTTTTTAATTAAAATATTTAATTTGCATTTATGTTGCTGGATAAAATATTTAGTTTTTACTTTCACTTAAGAACATTACAGTTAATTTATTTTAAAATATGCTTCTTCTTTTTTTCGTATTACGTGATGTGATTAATAAAAAAATCTCTTCTTTGCCCACGTTTATGACTTCTTGATAAATTTATTTATGTTTTTTGATTTGTTTTTTTTTAAAAAAAATGAAAAGGGAATTTTTTTTTTTTTTTAAAGTTTCACTTTTGTCTTCTTCAGTTTCGAATGAATATAATTATTAAAAGAATTTAATTTTACGCATATATATTACTAAGTTGACTGATAAAAAAGAAAGAATTAATTAAATTTATATGAAAGGCATCGTAACTGAAGAAATTTAATTTCATGCATATACAATACTAAGTTGATTGATAGAAAAAATTGTGTCTAAAACACTGACGTTTACGTCAGTGTTTTAAGCACATTGTTTAGTTGCATTAAAATATTTGTTTAAAATAAAATAAATAATTAAAAATTTCCGAAAAAAATGCCGTCAACATATCTAGATACTTGGGAACGTAGCCCTTCATTCAAAAAGATTGTGCACCCTACTACATGAGTTTCAATAAAAATATTTTTATATTTTATAAGATATTTTTTTAATTTATTTTAGCAATAAAAATAACCCTTAACTAAATTTTGAATATACTAATTATTAAGGCCCGCATTTTGATGACATTTGCAATTATGGACATTTTTTGTCCTTTAGAGCATTTTTTGAGATTTATAGGGCATTTTCTTTAAATTTTGGGGCGTATTTTGCATTTTAAAGCATTTTTTAAATTTTTTGTTAAATTTTTCTAATTTTTATTATTTTTTATAATTTTTTATTATTACACTGGCTTCCAAACAATGAAGAAAATTTCTAGGATATTAACAGGTGAAGCAACATCTTTTCAAATTGAAGAAGAATTGTCAGTAAGTGTGACCGTCCTTTTCAAGTACGCACCAATAACATCAGTAGACGTTGAAAGAAGCTTCTCCTGGTATAAAAATTTGCTTTCAGACAAGAGACGCTCGTTTACATTTCAAAATATTAAAAAAAAATTTAATAATCCACTGTAATTCTGATATTTAGTAATATTATGAGATGGAAGTTGTTATATTCATTTAAGTTTCTATACAAAATGAAAATGTTTTGGAGTCAATATATTTTCCTTTTTTTTGTTATTTTTGGATATAAAACATATTTGTCAAACTTTAATGAACGTAGAACAAGTATTGCATTGCTTTATATTTTTTGAAACGACTCATAATAATTTTAAAGAGTAAAACATTGTTTTAGTTCAATATTTTTACTTCTATTTAAGTCATGTTATAAGGCATTTTTAGCGCAATTTTCACATTTTAAGGGCATTTTTTGCACTTTTAAGGTCATTTTTTGCAGTTTGTAAGGGCACTTTTTGCACTTTTTAAGGGCATTAATTGAGATTTTTTAGGTCATCAAAATCCGGGCTCTACTAATTATTGTAAGAGAGCGAGCTATTTCTTCGTGTTCTTAGGATAAATTTTATTTCAATGCGGTTATTTAGTAAGTGTATACAATGTTCCAATTAAGAGTTTTTTTCTAAATTTCGCCTTTTCAGCGCAATTTAATTCCTTATTAATTAACATTACGATAATTTTTAAATTAAATTGTGTAAATTGATATAAATTAAATTAATAATTAGAAATTTTCGATTGCTTCTTCAGTGTTCTTGTCTCATATTATAATTTTTAAAAAAATTGTGTTAAGTCTAAGATGGGGCGGCCCATTTACAACGCACCTAAGTCTATGTACGCCAGTGTTTCCCAAAGTGTGGTACGCGTACCCCTAGGGGTACGGGAACAGTTTAGCGGGGGTACGTGTTCTTATGTGAAATATCTTACAACAAACGAACATTTAAAAACAAAGCTAGCCATGAAAATTTATGATTGCGTATTTTTCTATTGGCTATTTTTCGAAGATTACAGAGTTAATAATTGGTGGTGCCAACAGTCAGTTGTGATTTTTAACTTTAACAACATCCATGCCCGAAGGATTGTTGCATGCGGAAGAAGTGCAATTATTGGAATTGACATCAGACGGATTCTTGAAAAATAAACGACGAGTGTACATTATTTCATTCTGGCTGCAAATGCAAAGTATGTATCCAGTCTTAACAGAAAAAGTTGTGAAATATATTTTGCCTTTTCCAACTTCATATTTATGCGAAGTCGCTTTTTCAGCATTCGTGGACATTAAGTCGGGGGAAAAAAAGATTATTGGACGTGGAATCGCATCTCAGACTAAAATTGACCACAAGAGAACCGAATTATGAACAGTTATCACAGTAAAAACAATATCATCCTTTTCACTGATGCAAATAAACTTATTAATAAAACTTTGAACGAAAAAAGAAAAATACATAATTTTATAAAAATACATTCATTGTCTTACTAGTGGTACACGGCATTACGAAAAATTTAGAAAGGGTACACAGCAGTCATAAGTTTGGGAAACACTGGTACGCCACTGTTTGAAACGAGTTCCAACCACGACGAATCGTCGCCTCGGTAAATTAAGCGTATGGCGAATTTTTAAAGGGAAAAAAAATAATGTACCCATTTGATGTCATATTAAATTAAAGGGGAAGAAATGTAACTCTAACAAAAAATTTCTAAATATAAATAAAAGCTGTGATGGCTCATGGGATTGAGCGCTCGCTATCCAATCAGATGAACCGGATTCAAATCCCAGCCATAGCTGGTAGATACGAGCTCTGCCTACGGCTCGTACCGACCAAAGTGCTGACATAAAATATCCTCAGTGGTAGAGGAATCATGGGTTAGAGTCCCCTTACCGTCAGGCTAACCGCGGGAGGTTTTCGTCGTTTTCCTCTCCATGTAACGCGAATGCGGATTAGTTCCATCAAAAAGACCTCCACGAAGGCAAATTACTCCCAATGCTTGATCCAAGAGTTCGCTTGTCTTCTGGATTGGGTTCAAAATTACAAGGCTATGAAGTTGAACATAAGTAGTAGTAAACCCACAACTTGGGTCGGCTGTTCAACGACGGTTATAAAATAAAATAAAGATAAATAAGAAATAATCTTTTTTTTTATTATTAATATTTTTCATCGACTACCAAATGTTTTTGTTGTTTATTTAATATTAATTAGCCAATCTGAATGAAACATTTGTCATCCGACTGTAAAAAGAAAACTATCAGAACTGAAACTCAACTTTTTATCTCAAATGTTATCAGCATGCAAATATTTTCTGAAACAGAAACTTATCATCGAACGCGCATAAAAAGTCAAGGATTGTTTTGGAAACCATATTTGAAATCAGCAAATTTGTTTTGACGCAATCGATTTACGAGATTAAAACTCCGAGAAATTCGTAAGTTGTATTATTTTGAAACTTATTGATTTTTCCTTTATAATTAATTTATATTTATAATGTATTACTCCACTTGTAACTGCATTTCTTAGAGTTATATAGTAGTATAAAACTTTTTCCTCTGCAGACATTAAGTTGTACATTTAAGTTAACTTCGCATTTATAACTTGTGAAAGTTATTTCATTTTAATATTGCTTTCATTCTTTAAAAATTAATGGTTCAAAACTCATATTTCAAATCATTTTTCAAAATAAATAAATTATAATACCAAAACTTTTTCAAGTTGTTACACCGAAGAAAAGATATGAAATAAGCATATTGTGAAACCATAACATATCTCGTTTTTATAATATTATTCTCTTAATAATAAAAATGCAGTGACGAAATTGGTTAGTTTTTTTTAATCAGTTTTTGATAAAGGTTAAGATGTTTGATATAATTTTATATAAAGTTTAGTTTAATGTCGTAACAAATAATTTAATCGCTATGTCCCCATAGCGCACGCAAAATGTGAAATTAACCCTTTGCAGTCGTATAGTTGCCTTTAACCCCCAATACGTATTGATTATCAATAAAACATAACCTCAAAGGGTTAATATTAATGGCGTCAAACATTAAGATACTGTAATGAAAAATCATTTGGTTCAGATAATATAAACCGGAAGAGCAATACTTAGGGGGAAAATGTGAAAAAGTTAAAACATTTCATACACAATGAAAACTAAGTTGAATACTACTTTTAAATATTTCCTTTTCTTTGATCTAAAGTTAATTTCTAAAACATCAAGCGCTTTTCTGACAACTATTTGATAGATTTATGCACCTTATCCTAGGGATGGACTGGCTGACTGGCCCACCGGGATACTGAGGTTAAAACGATCGAAACACCTCATGAATTTTCGATGGTATCGATAGCATCAAAAAGTGATTACTCAAATGTGCGATTCAAATTTTGCGTGTCGTAATAAAATCGGAAATTTAAAAACATCGAGAAAATTAATTGTATTAACTGCAAAGAAAGAAAAAAAGAGTGAAAAAGTGATTTGAAAATTCTATATCGTATTATCATATTTTAAAAAATCGATCTAATTGTAGCAAATAAAAAGAGGCAAATATATCATATTGATTAAATAATTCTTCTGTTACAAATCGGAATTCGCAACAAAATTGCTACTAATTTAAACAAAAATAAGAAAAAATACAAGTTTTTTAGCGAACGATCTTTTAGATGCTTGTCAATTCGGAATCACTTTTCAGATTACCAATTTTATTCTTTCGTGTTTGCCTCATTAGTTCATCAATTCTTAGCAAAATTGATTTCTAATTTTCTTTCTTTATTTAGTCTTGTGTGTTTGATGTTTATCTGATGTTGTGTTTTTCTCAAACAAACCTGCTTAAAAAAATAGTCGTTATCGCCCGTGAATGAGAACTTAGAAAGAAAAAGTAAACAGGGTGATAGTAAGGTCGGATAAATGTTTCGTGTACATGATTTTGCATAAATTACGAAATTTAAATTTTATATTAGTGGAACTTCTTAAAATGTTGTCGGAATATAAATTATTGATTCGAGGAAGTCCGCGAATTAGTGAAAGAATCACATGCTTGTTAACAATTCTCGAGTCAGAATTAGGGACAAACTTGTTTTCTTAAAGGTTTTTATCACTATTATCCACATTTATGTTACACGAAGAGAAAAGCAAGAAACATTTCAACACTGCGGTCTTTGCAAATGAAATTTTTTTCACCCATTATTCTGTTATAACGTTTTAAAAAAAAAATTTTAAAAAAGCAATGCACGCAAATATTTTATCTTTCCATAGAGCAACACTTAGTTTAATCACCTAGGTTTTCTTTTCTCTATCATTTCTGTATATTCACAATATTAATTTACTGATATATTATTCAAATTAATTTAAATTTGATATTGTTACAATATCCAATTATTAACATTTAATAAATCGATATCAAGCTGAACAAATTCTTTCAAATTTTTCATTTTTTTAAAAATCCAACTCAGAAGAGAAAGATTACCTAAATTAAGACAAAATAATCTTTAGTAACAACACCTGCGAAATTAGAGAGCAATTCTTTTACTAAACCTGAAAAACTAAGACAAATCCCGTTTCCCAATTTGTTCCAGCACAGTTTGTACAGGCACTCTAGTTCCAGCTATAGGACTTTAATGCTGAAATCAGTTGCCACACCGTTGATTATAGGTTATAAATAATAATTCGAGCTCCTAAAGTATAGATTTTATGAAGTATTCAAGTTTTTCAAAGGATATAAAAATATCGATGTGATTTATACACCTTCGTAATGAGTTTGACTCGGGTTCGAATCCCAGGGATGGCTGTTCAATACGAATTCCACACCTTGTTCGCAAAGTCCTCAGTGCTAACGTAAAATATCCTCAGTGGTAGACGGATCAGAATCCCATTGCCGTTGCTAACCGAGGGAGGTTTTCGTGGCTTTACCCTCCGTGTAACGCAAATGCGAGTTAGTTCCATAAAAAATGTCCTCCACGAAGGCTAACTTGTCCCAATGCTTGATCCAGGAATTCCCTTGTTTTCTGGATTGGGTTCAAAATTTCAAGGCTACGGGGTTGAACATTGGAAGTCGTAAACTCAAAAGTATGTCGGCTGTTCAACGATGGTTATAAAATAAAATAAAACACCCCTTGTCGGGGCCGGGACAGCTTATGTGATAGAGTGTTAGCTTCCCAATGATGAGGTGACCCAGGTTTGAATCCCAAAGGTGGCTGGTTGAAACGACTTCTGCTCCTAGCTCGCACTGACCACAGTGCTGACGTAAAAATATCCTCAGTGGTAGACGAATCATGGATTAGAATTCCCTTACCTTCGCGCTTACTGTGCAATATTTTCATAGTTTTTCTCCTCAAGTAACGCAAATGCGGGCTAGTTCCATATAAAAAAGTCCTCCACGAAGGTTAGCTTGTCCCAATACTTGATCCAGAAATTCTCCTGTTTTCTGGATTGGGTTCAAAATTACAAATCTACGGAGCCGAACATTGATAATCGCAAACTCAGAATTGGATCGTCTGTTCAACGTCGGTTATAAAATAAAATGAAATCGCCCCCTCTCTCTTCTAAAAATCATAATCAAAGAAAATTTTAAAAAATTTCTTATTTGTAGGTATGATGGCGAGAAAAGACAAGAAAAGTCATCGTGGAGATCATTGTAAAAATCCTAAATCCATAAAGAAGTATCCCCTGGATTGCAACACAAGTGCAAATGAAGTATTCAGCATGCCATTCCTGTGTGATATAAATACGATATCAAACATTAAGAAGCATGGCCGCATCATGTTTATAATCCGAGGACCCCCATATACCATGAAAACAAAACTCAGTGATTTGCTCAAGGAAATATATCAAAATGCTGTATATTGTTCTGCTGTAAAACACATAGACAAATATTCCACTGGTGGGAAAATGGTATTTGACAAATCAGTTAAGCAGTTGACCCATACGATTTGTCAAAAAAAGTAAGTGCACTCTTCATACCAAGCATATTGTAGGGAAAGGTGAATCAATTTTGAGACATTTTTGAAAAATCTTTTATTTTTTAATTTGTAATTTGTCAATTTTCAATTTTGTCAATTGTCAATTTTATCACAATTAATTTGTTATTCCATTAAGACATTTTTGGCTTAGTATAATAATACTGGGGAAGAAATTCGTTGTTGCATTTATACAAATAATTGATCTTGCCTAATTCGGGTGTGGATCAGAAATAAGTTTTGTCTTAAAGCAACAGATTTTTTTTCCTTTTGAAATGACATTTTTAATCTATTTTTTTGTGGAAATGTATAAGTTTAAAAACGATGTATGAAAAAAAGGGTCGCGTAAATGTTACAACTAAGATCTAGGGGAGTTAGGGCGTATCATCAAGATTAAAATTTACTTAAAACCCATGCAAATAACGTCATACGCGGCTAGGGACGCTTCCCCTATTTTGACCTCTTCAGAACCACACGAAGAAATTTATAAAGTACATCCTGGATTGCAAAAGAAGTATTCAGCATGCCAGTCATGTGTGATTACAATACGATATCAAATACTAAGAAGCAAAGGCGTTTCATGTTTATAATCCGAGGACCCCCATATACCATAAAAAATATTAAAAGGCAGTGATTTGCGTAAGGATATAAATATGTATATACAATATATATATATTACGCTGGTGGGAAAATGATATTTAACAAATCAGTAAAACAGTTAACCAAGATCATAGCATGTAATATACATAATTATAAAGGGTGTTCCAAAATTATCTTTACAACTTCAAAAATTCATAACTTCGAACATAAACAAGATATTTATATTCTGTCTTTTGCATGTATTACTGCAACCAATAAAGTTTTTTTTTTCAATAGGCTGAAAAATTTTAAGTGAGGATGTGGAAACCACAACAGAAAGCTCAATGCGTTTCATGGCCGTATTCGCTCCACATTTTCTGGACTTGTGCTGGGTCGTCCGGCTCCACTTTTATGCAATACTGATCCGGTGCTCATGAAGCTTGTGTGCCATGCACGGATGGAGGGTCTGGATGGTGGGTCTCTTTGGAAATTTGTCCTGAAGTTCCGTTGAACCTGTGTATCTGATTTCGTCTCTATGAACCATGAGACGCATTGAGCTTTCTGTTGTGGTGTCCACATCCTCACTTATAACTTTTCAGCCTATTGAAAAAAAAACTTTANCTTGACTTCGGTGATCTGCTGGGAACCGTGTCTTAACGATCAGTCCACTGCGGGACCCAAAAAAAAGTAGGCGCACTCGTTATACCAAATGTATTGTACGGAAACGTAAAACAACTTTGAGAAATTTTTTTAAATATTAAATTTTTTATAGAAAGAAATTATATTATTTGTTCAATTTAGACAGTTTAGCTTCGTATAATAACACTGACGTGGCACAAATTTTTTGCTGCATTTATACAAAAACTTGATCTTGTCTAATTCAGGTGTGGAGATTTCAAATCTAAAATTAGTTCCGCTAATAAAGATATGGATTTTTATGACATTATTTTCGTTGAAATGAATAAGTTTAAAACCGCTATAGATAACAGGTCAAGTAAATGTTGCGATAAATTTCTTGGGGAATTAAAGCACGTCATCAGGATTAAAATTGTGCAAAAACCCATGCTCAGGTGTTTTTTCATACCCGGCACTATTTTATTATGGCCTTGAGGTTTTACGCAACATTTATGCGATCACCTGTTATATATAATGTTTTTAAACTTGTACATTTCGACAAAAAATAAAAATAATAAAAAACAAGCTTGGATTGAGAATCCGTTTACAAATTTGAAATCAACGGCGTGGAGATATACAAGATCCGTTAAAAAATTTCATGCAACAGGGAAAAAAAATTAATTCCCTAGTGAAATTAATCCAGTTTAAAAAATGTCATAAAAAATACGAGACAGAGATAGAGAGAAAAAATTGTTCAGTGTCTCATTCAGTGAGCTTGGGACACTAATAATAATATTTTAATGTCTGAAAATTATTAACAATACCTTATTTGTTCAATATACTTTTTAGAGATTTATTATATCTATTTTCCTACTGTAGAAAATAAAAAAGAATAAGATCGTGCTATTTCACTTCATTCACAACAAATAAAACAATTTACAGTGATTTCTCCCCTCTGTTTTTTTATTTCTAGAAAGAAATTGTTTGAAAGGAATCCAATTTTATTTGAAAAAGAAAGTACTTCACAAAGAAGGGGGTTGGATGAATTGCCAAAACGAATTTCGACTAGTAAAACTAAATCTGAAAATGTCCCAAAATACTTCATCTTCTCCTAAAGGATTACTTTTTATTGTTATTCATAAATTCATTATTAAAATTTAAGAATATTTGTTTTTCTTCACAGAGCAGAAGAGGCGTGCTTGAATAATGAATTAATAATTGTACAAAATTCTCATATAAAAAAGTTTGAACTGAAACCATACCTAAATTTAGCTGTCAAGTACGACTACACAGTAATTATGGCTATAACTACGTACAAGTTTGACATCACTATTGAGGTAAGTGAAAACATTTTTATTGCGTTTATTAAAAATTAGTTTTTCATTGAAAGAACGAAGTTGTTGTTGTCATTAAGGCAAGGGGTGCAATTGGTCTTGTTTTCCAGTAGCGCCATCTATGGCCAAGAATTCGACTTGCCACACCCGTTTATAGGGTGGACCTATTCATATAACTATTTTATCATCCACAGATCTTAATTTTGATTTGAATCCAGAATGATGAATCCCGGCCAGATCGATCAATCTCCAATTTAGAGGTATAATTTATTATGGGAACATGGAGGGCTTTGTGACCCGACAGCTTTAACGTGCACCAGTCACCATTTACAACTTGGAGAGTCTTGGGCCGGCTGGATTCGAACTCCCGTTTACACGAAAGTGAGTCCAACACCCTACCAACCAGGCTACCCCGGCCAGTGAGGAACGAAGTACTTCAACTTCGTGGCTCAAAAAATTTCGATATCATTTGAATTATTGTAATATTTGAAGGGCTGTGACAGTATAATAACATTTTAAAATTCTTCAGGAAAGCGTTTTTTGGTTAAAAATAAATAACAAATAAATAACAGTAAATGAAGAAATAAAAAAAAAGAAACACTACGATATGTATGTAAGCAAAATTTTTCTGCGTAATGGTGTTGCTATCTTGTACTGATAATAAGAAAAACTTGTAAAGTATCTATCTCGAAACAATACTGACGAACAGTTTGATGTAAAAAAAGTCACCATAAGGTAAAATTATGGTTTTTCATTTTTACCTTAAGCTCTTTTATTATTTTCGTATTGTGATTTTTAGTAAGTATTAAAGCATAAATTATTATTTATATA